AGAGAGAGAGAGAGAGAGAGAGAGAGAGAGAGAGAGAGAGAAAGAAACAGTAACCATGACTAACCTTATCTAAGGTGTGTATGTGTTCCTAGTTCAGAAAACTCTATCCAGTGTCCACATAGCCCAAGTTATGGTACTGGGCATGAGACATAGAGATGAGCAGGAAACAGGCTGGAGGGATGCTTGGTGATTAAGAGCACCTGCAACTTGTTCCTGTTATTTCTCTGTGATAAAACACTTACCAAAACCAACTTGGGAAGGAAAGGGTTTACTTGACTTACATTTCCACACCACATCACTGGGGGATGGCAGAGCAGGAACTCAGGGTAGGAATCTAAAGACAGGAACTGAAGCAGAGACCATGGAGGAGCGTTGCTTCCTGGCTTGCTTCTCCTGGCTTGCTCAGCTCCCTTTCTTACACAGCCTAGGGCCACTTGTCCAGGGATGACATCTCTAGGCTCCATTTGTATATGCATTCATATGCACAATGAGTGCATATACATGTATAATTTTTTTAGTCTAAAAAAAAAGGAAACCAGGAAATCAGTATCTAGTAGAAGAAACAGACAAAAAACGATCATGTTGAATCTCATTCAAAAAAGTCGAGCCAGGTGTGGTGATGCCATACCTTTAATCCCAGTACTCAGGTGGCAGAGGCAGGGGACACTCTTGTGAGACTTGAGGTCAGTCTGGTTTACATAGCAAGTTGCAGGCCAGTTGGGGCTTCCAGGAGGCCCTGTCTCAAAAAACAAAATGAAACAAAACAAACAAAACCAAAAACTACCACCACCACCAACAAAAATATTAGATCATACAAAATAATTAGGTTGGCTTAAGGTGGGTCAGCAAATGGGTAACACACAGGCCTGATCTAGTTCCCTGACGTGGGAGTCCCCCACACTGCTGTAACAAGTTGCCACAGACTCAGTGACAAACAATAGATTTGGAACTCATAGCTCTGGTGGTCAGAGGTCTAGGGTGGGCTCCCTCCCTGAGCTGCAGTCTGGTGCCAACAGGGCTTCGCTCCCTTTTGGACTGGCCAGGGAGAATGATTGCCCTGGTGCTACCAGGTTGTGGCAGTTCCTGGCCCTTCCATCTTCACATAACTCCTTCCTTTCCATCTTTGCCTCCCCAGGTCTGTGCTGCCTTACAGACCTTTGGAATCACAGGGGACCAGCCCTGAAAACCCAGATGGATCTGTCTATCAGCTATAGGCTGGTGAGATGGCTCAGACTTTGCTTGCTGCAAAGGCTGCTAACCAGAGTTTGAGCCCCAGAACCCCAGAGAGAAGTGAATCCACAAAGTTGTCCTTTGACCTCTACACACATGTCATGACAAGTGTGCCCCCCAGCATGCACACACAATAATAAATAAACAAAAATTAAAAAGAAAACTGAAGTTAAGTGAAATGGTGCCATAATCTCATCTGCAAGTGCCATTTTCCCTGGTGGAATATAACATTCATAGGTTCTGGGGCTAGTGGTGGGTGGCTGTACTGCTTACCACAGGTAAGGACACAAATGTACCCGTTTCTTTCTTCCTCCTCCTCTTCCTCCTCATCTTCATCCTTCTCTTCCTCCCTCTCTGTATTGACTCTGGAACCTAGGGCCTAGCACATGCTAGGCAAATGCTCTACCACTGAGTTACAGTCCAGCCTGGAAATACTTATTTTAACATGTATGACATAAGCCAGTGGGCACAGTGGGCATATCTAGAACCGATTTATGAATCTCCAATCATTCAATTAAATCAATATATACAGGGTGGGTGTCATAATACACATGATTTGCAACATTGCATGTGTTTAACCAAAAATAATAGAGAGAGCATTACCAGTCTCTGTGAGATTGAGGCCAGCCTGGTCTACATAGTGAGTTCCAGGCCAGCTGGGGCTACAGGGAGACCCCGTCTCAAAAAGACCACACAAAAAAGTAGTAAATAGTAAGCCAACAGTAAAGATAGAATTCCAGAGATCTTAGAGTTTTTTTTGTACTCCCCTTTTTCAGTGCTGTAGATCAACCCAGGCACCAGCACACCCAAGTGCTCTACCTCCAATCTGCACCCAGCCCTGATTTACATTCCTTTAAAGATTCAGTTCTTCACTTAGTCCTTCTCCCTGGCTTGATTGCTTTTCAGATTGACATTGTCAATAAGATCTTTGTGCAGAACCTGGACAACCCGCCACTGTATAAGAACCACCCTCCTGTGGCGGGCGCCATCTACTGGGAGCGGTCCCTGTTCTACAGGATTAAGCATACCATCCTCAGGTTCCAGGAGGTTGAGGAGCTTCTGGACAGTGACCGTGGCCAACAGGTATGACTGCTCCCAGCAACTTCCAAGCCTTCACTGGTTTCCAGGAGAGAATGACTCAGCAGCAGACCCATACCTACAGGCATCTCCTGCAGTCCTTGGCTTAGGCTCATCTCTAAAATAACTCTTTCTGTCTCTCTCTTTTGATCTCAGAACATAGAAGCTCCTCTTAGGCACTTAACTGCTCTGGAGGATGACCGCCATCTTTTTTTTGGAGACAAGGTCTCATGTAGCCCATGACTTCGAACTCACTATGTAGCTGAGGATGATCTTGAACTTCTGATCCTTCTACTTCCATCTGAGTGCTGGGATTACAGGAGTGTGCCACCACACCTGGCTTATGTGGTACTGGGGATGAACCCAGGGCTTCATGCATGCTAGGAGAGCACCCTATGGACTGAGCCATGTGCCCAGCCTATGACCATTGTCTTTTTGATGACCATTGTCTTTTTGACACTGTCTGCTCCCCCTCAGCCTGTGGCTTTTTGTATGTGACCGAGCAGAGGGTGGCAAGCATTTTCCTTTAAGATACATGTCATTTATATTGTAGGTATTTGAAAGGCATACAATCTGCACTGCCAGGTGGACTCAAGACAGCAAATATAGAGGGGCAGACACACCTCTCTCCTCATCCAGAGAATGTAGTTTGCTGGTCTCTGTTAGACCATGCCTGGTTTTCAGGTCAAACAAAGCCAATGCATAGGCAGATCCAGAAAGACAGAGGTACAGAGATGAGAAGGTGCTATTTCCAGGGACGAAGTGACAGTTGCTCAAATTCTCAACTAGGTAAAGCAAAAATACCTGGAGGTGGGCAGGACGATGAAGGACTATGAGGACCGAAAATACGAGCAGTGGAAGGAGATGACAGAGCAGAACCTCCCATACCTCATGAAGAGTAGCCTGCTCGCCAAGGTGTGTCTGAGACCTCACCTCGAGGGATGGCAGCTAAAGAAGGTGGCACTACCACCATGTTCTGGGGGAGGGTGCACAGGGCTGTGGATGAGAGTGGGCCAATACCAGCAGCCCAACGAGACCCCGTGGGCAAGCAGTTCAGCCTCAGTCTCTCTGTTTATGAGTCCAGGGACTGGCAACCAAGCTCAGTTGGTAAAGTGCTCCCCCTGGGAGTTCCAAGTCAGCAAGAGACTTTGTCTCAAAAGAAAAAGGGAAGTGGGGCTGGAGCAATGGCTCAGTGTTTAAGAGCACTTGCTGCTTTTGCAGAGGATCTGAGTTTGATCCCCAGCATCCAGTGGCTCACAACTGCCTGTAACTCCATCTGAGGGCACCTGCGCATAACTGCACACACATGTGCACACACATAAAAAGAAAATAAATCTTTTTTTTAAAGAAAATAAATCTTTTAAAAAAGAAGAAAAAAAGAAAAAGGAGACAGCACTCAAGGAATGATGAAGTTATCCCCACATGCACCCATGTGCTCCCACCCACATGCACCTACATACACGTACATCACCTACACCTATATACTTACATCTGCACACACATGCATTGCACACACATGCACTGCACACATGTGCATATATGTGCACACACGTTAAAAGAAGTAAAATGAGTGGGCTCGATGACATAAATGTGTGAAGGGCTAGGGGTATCATCTGTGAGTCACAGGTGATAGCTTTTATGTTTATTTGTGTCTGTATGTGTGAGTATATGTGTATGGGCCCACATGCCACAGTGTGAGTGTGGAGGTCAGAGAACAACTTCTGGGAGCTGGTTTTCTCCTTCCACCATGTGGGTTCCTGGATTGAATTCAGGTTGGCAGCAGGCACCTTTCCCTGCTGAGCCATCATGACAGCCCACAGATGACAGGTGTTTTTTTTTTTTTTTTAACGTGTATGTGTGTATTGCCTGTGTGTAGGTAAGTGCACCTGTGTCGTGCAGTGCCTGCAGAGGACAGAAGAGGCTGTTGGATCCCCTGGAACTGGAGTTTCAGACAGTTGTTAGCTGCCATGTGGGTGCTGGGATTCAAACCTGGGTCTTCTGCAAGAACAACCAGTGTTCTTAACTGCTGAGCCATATCTCCAGCCCCAGGTGACAGTTTTTAACCTTGCCTGTGTCCCATCTTTCCCTTTCTGGCCCAGGGCCTGGCACATGGGCAACACTCATGAGGTCAGGGTCTGCTTTTGACCTAGTAGAGTTATGTCTGCAGTTCCTGAAGTTCTTAGTGGGTATTTCTGCCACCCTAAGGGCAGAGGGCTCCATGTAGCTGGGGGATTGGGGTGCTCAGGGCCCCTCCCCAGGGCTGCCCAATTCTAGCCTGTGCTTGCCAATGTGATTCAAATTTTCTGTTTTCAAAGAGAAGCCAGGAATCTCTACTTTTATGTGATATTGCCTAATTTTCGACAATTGGTAGCTAAATAGGTGTGTGTGTGTGTGTACACGCGCATGTGCGCCCACGCAGAAGCCACAGGTTGACATCAGGTGTCTTCCTCAACCATTCTCCACCTTAGTTTTTGAAGTGGAGTCTCTTACTGATCCAGGAGCTCATGAATTTAGCTAAGTGGGCTGGCCAGGCAACTCCCAGGATCCTTCTGTCTAGGTTATGAATGTGTTGTTTGTGGTGTGTGTGTGTGTAGTGTATGCATGTGTTCACACATGTCTGATTTTTTACAGGGTGCTGACAATCTGAACTCAGGTCCTCATGCTCAAAGAGCAAACACTACCTACTGAGCCATCTCCCCAGCCTGAAACTGAATCCTTTAAAAACTCTGCTCACGGGGCTGGAGAGATGGCTCAGCAGTTAAGAGCATTGGCTGCTCTTGCAGAGGTCCTCTTCTGACCTCCGTGGGCACTGCATGACACGGGTGCCCTTACCTACATGAAGGCAGTGCCCACAGAGGTCAGAAGAGGCTGTTGGATTCCCTGGAACTGGAGTTACAGACAGTTGTTAGCTGCCATGTGGGTGCTGAGATTCGAACCTGAGTCCTCTGCAAGAACATTCAGTGTTCTTAACTGCTGAGTCATCTCTCTAGCCCCACAAATAATAAAATATTTTTAAAAAACTGTTTACCAAACAAAATGTGTGATCTAGCTAATGCCAGCCTGTGCCCATTTGTTGGGGAAAGGACTGGCACTGATCCTTTTTAAGTTCATGTTTAGCAGGCTGCGTGAGCAATGGTGGCCGGCCCTTCCCACACTGAAACATCTCTTCCACAGACTTCTACCACAGCAGAGGAGGGGCCGTCTCTGGATCGGGGGGCCGTGTTTGTCATCAACTTCTCCCCTGTTCTCAGAGAGATTATTAATGAGACCAAGTACTTGGAACATCTGGGGTTCACTGTCCCTGAGCTGGCGAGGAATGTGGCCCTCCAGGAAGACAGATTCCTCAGGTGAAAGACCTTGCTAAATCAGAGGGGCTGCTTTGCTTTCGGAGTCTCTTGGCACACTATTTTTCATGTGTGTGTGTGGGGTGCATGTGCATGTAGGGCCAGATGTCAACCCTGAGTGTTGTCCTCAGTCGCTGCCCACCTTCTTTTTTGAGGTGGGGTCTCTCACTGGCCTGTAGCTTGTTGGTTCAGCTAGGCTGGCTAGCCAGTGAGCCCCAGGGATCAGCCTGTCTCTGTCTCCTCAACACTGGGTTACAGGTACATGACACCTACTATGCTCAGCTTTTTACATCGGTGCTTAGGGGTCAAACTCAGATCCTCAATGCTTGCAAAACAAGCACGTTACCAAGCGAGCCATTTCCTCAGCAGCCCCCTAAAATGATGGTGGATTCCTCCACTCAATGCTCCTGTTTCTTTTTTAAAAAAATTATTTTTACAACTTCATATATGTATTCTTTGCAGACCTGACCCCTCTTATCACCCACCTCCATCTCATCTCTGTCCCCCTCTTCCCTCCTGACAAGTCTCTCTCACATGTTTATGACTGATCATTTGTTTGGTGACCCACTTAGATTAACAAAGGCTGACTGTGTGACTGTGGGTTCGGAGGTATCCATTACAGCCTGGTGGTCTTAGCAGAGGGTACACAACTGCAGACAGTGATTCCCACTCTCCGAGAGTCTGTCTATGCAAAGCTTTCATTTCTGTGGTGTATTACTACCAACACTGACATCAGGAGTTAAAATAATAGACGGTTCAGGTTTTGACTTACTCAGCCACAGAGCATGAGCCATTGCTGATGATGCATACGACATTCATGTCCTCGGTGCTGGAGATCCTCAAACATGCAGGGCAGGCCCTCTGGTCCTGAGCCTTACTCCCACCCTCTGCACATGTCCTGATCAAAAGTAATGGTGGGTCAGGTCTTTGGGAATGTGCCACCGAGGTTCCTAAGCTCTGTACAAGCTTCATGTCCTGCCTGTGTCACTTGCTGTCCCCTGTGCTGGGTCCTCAGGTACATGGACGGCATCCAGCGCATGCTGGACCACTACAACTTGCTTGTCAGCACGCTGAATGAGGCAGAGACCGTGCTGCTTGATGATCATTCCCAGGAGCTGCTCAGGGTGTTCAGGTCTGGATACAAGAGACTAAACTGGAACTCGCTAGGTAATAGCCTGGCTCCTTGTCACTTAAAATTTAAAAATTTATTTATGTATTTTTATGTTTATTTATTTATTTGTTTGTTTGTTTATGTGTTTATGTGTGCCATGAGATGTGTATGGAGGTCAGAGGACAACTTGTGGGAGTTGGTTCTCTTCTTCCACCATGTGGATCCCGGGGATGGAACAGAGGTTGTGAGCTCAGCAGCAAGCTCCCTTAACTGCTGAGCTATCTTGATGGCCCCTCCTTGTCATCTTTTGCACTTTAGGAGGAATAGACATTTTTTTTTCAGGCTGCTTTAGTTGAAATATACTTTTTGCTCCCCCCTGAAATTTAGTTTAATTTAGCAATGAGTTGTCAAAAGGTAGATCTCAAGTTTCCAACTACTGTTTCAGTTTAGAATTAATCCTCAGTCTCTTTCAGTGAGATTCTCATCTGATGATTGTTATCATCACTAACAAAGTAACTTCTGGGGTTTAATAAGCATGCCTTGTGACCTATAGACTGGCTCCCCAGGATTTCTCTGGAATGTTTTGACATGATGCCAACTTCCCACCTCCAAGAATAAAATGACTTTTATTTTTTTAAAAATTAAAAATCTAATTTGGAGAGAATTAGAGACTCACTGGCAGTTGTAAGAATGAATACAGAGGGTCTGGGGAGAGGACTCAGTGCTCAAGAGTACTGGGTGCCCTTGCAGAGGACCCAGGTTTGGTTCCCAGCACCCACATGGTGGCTAACAACCATAACTTCAGCTTCAGGGAATTCTATCCCTTCTTCTGACCTCTGTGGGCATTACATGACACCAGTGCACTTACATGCACACAAAATTTTTAAAAATGAATACAGAGAGATCCTGTGTGTGTTTATATGTATGTGGTGGGGTGTATGCATGTGAGAATACAGGTATGCACACCTGTGCACACACATGTGGAGGCCAGAGGAAGATGTTGGGTGCCTTTCTCTATTGCTGGCTACATTATTGAGACAGGCTCTCTCACTGAACAAGAAACTCACCATTTTGGCCAGGCTGTCTGAGCTCAGGATTGGCCAATCTCTGTCATCCAATGATGGGATTTCAGGCATGCACAGACTTGCCCAGCTTTTTATGTGGGTGCTGAGGATTTGAACTCAGGTCCTTATGCTTGTAAAGCAAGTGCTCTGACCCACTGAAGTACCTCTCTAGCCCCTAGAGAGGTCTTATGTAATGGTCCCTTTTTGCCACAACAAAACATTATAAGATATGAATACAAACCACACATACACACATACATAAGCACACAAACACACAAACATGCATGAACACATTCATACATGCACACATCAACACACATGCACACACGGACACAACGTAGGTACATACAAAAACACATATCACATAGCCTCACATATACATAAACACACACATATGCACACACATAAACCTACATACACACATATATGCAACATGAATATGCACATGTAAACACATATACACGCATACATGCATACACATATGCATATACAAGCACACACACACATACATGCATGTACATACACACACACACACACACACACACACACACACACACACACTTCTGTGGATGGAGAAAATCCATCACTGCTAAGTTTGGATTCTGGGCTGGGCCTCTTTGTCCCAGGCCTCCCAGGGTTGAGTGACTCCTGTGCCACTGCTTGGCTCATGGAGCAGGTCCTTGGGCTGACATTATAGGCATCTACAGGAGGGATGGGGACGGCAGCTGGAGCCCAGCCTCTTTCTCCCTCAAGGAATTGCGGATTATATCACTCGGTGCAAACAGGCCATTGGCAAGTTCGAGTCTCTGGTTCACCAGATTCATAAGAATGCAGAGGACATTGCCTCCAGGCTCACGCTAATCGAGTCGATCAACCTGTTTAAATACCCAGTCCCTAAAGGCAAGGATGGGCTCCCAGGTAGGCCAAGCTTCTTGCTTCTCAGCCATGAAATGCCATGAGTTTCTGAGTTCCCAGCATGCACCATTCTAACCACCCAGTTGTTGACTAGAAGGGCTCTGGTGGTGTCACCTTCTGCCATATGGTTTCACAGGTTGTTGTCATTTCTTTTTTCAGTGCTGGGATTGACCCCAAGGCCTTACACATGTTAGCCAAGTACTCTGTCACCCAGCCCAGTCCAGATCTATAAACTCTTGAGTTTGTGAAAATAAGTTTCTATCAGTAACTTTGAAATACTTTTGTCAATGATTCAGTTTTCTGTAAGACAGGGTCTCCCTACATCTCCCAGGCTGGCACTGAACTCCCTTTCTCTTGCTTCAGCCTTCAAGTGATGCCATTGCAAGTGTGCACCACTACACTAAGTCCTGTAACTTTGTAACAATTGAGTAAATTCTATCTTGTGAGCCCACATTTATTTTTTCACATGAGGTATTTTAAGTATTCTTAAACTAGTCAGTAAGAAGTTCAAAATTTGTCACCAAAGGATTCAAGGAAAGCATTGTTGCCCAATGCCCAACAGCCACCAGCTGTGCCTGGTGCCAGCACTACAAGGCACCCTCCCTAATGCCAAATGCCTTTTGTGTGGGGTGCCTTGGCTCTGGCATTGACTCACTTTCCACACTGGTTGGGCTAGAGCTTCTTTGTGTGACTGTGACCTGCTGCGTGGATGACTTCTTCTGTGTCCCATTGGGATGTGTAGCTTGTGTCTCTCTCTACCAGCATGAAGTAATTTTTCTTTATAGTTTTTTTTAAATCTTCCTACATTTATCTATCTATTTTTTGTGCATGTGTGTCAGTTCATGTGTGCCATAGCACACAGGTAAAGGTCAGAGGACAACTTGTGTGAGTCAGTTCTCTCCTTTCTATCATGTGGGTCCTGGGGATTGAACTTGGGATGTGAGGCTTGGTGGCAAGGGCCTCTACCTGGATGAACCATTTTGCCAGCTCTTCAAGTACTCTCATTCTATGGGCTTCCATGTATAACTTGTGTCTTTCTCTGCAGGAGTGAAGGAATTCTTTGAGCACATTGAGCGAGAGAGGACCAAGGATGTGGACCACATGGTCCAGTGGTACATGGCCATTGGGCCTCTGCTAACCAAGGTAGAGGGCCTAGTGGTACACACCAACACAGGCAAGGCTCCCAAGCTGGCCTCCTACTATGAGTACTGGGAAGGCAGAATCTATGACATCCTGGGGAAACTCATTCTGAAGTAAGTGCATCTGCCCTGTGCATGGTTAGATGTGGGATGTAGATTGACTGTGAGCCATGCTCTAAGTCGCAGGTGGCTGCTGACTGGGGAGGCTGCTCACAGCAAAGAGGGGTGACCCTCCAGATGGGCCCCGGTTTCCATGAGGCTCTCAGCTTATACAAAGATAGCTATGTGTCCCACTGCTTCTGGAAGACAGGGTGCTTGTGTGCACCCGGCAGCAGACAGTCCCAGCAGAGCCTTTGCTTCTGTTGAGAGGATGTGTGTCTACTCAGAGAACTCATGATGCAGCCCTCTTTCCCTGGGTGCCGTCAATCATTGGCTGGAACAGTCACTGCATACTCAGTTCTGGTGGCATACCATGGCCCAACAGGTGGCTGCTGTTCCCTGTGGGTCCCACAGCCTAGCAGCATAGCCAGGCCAGCTAGGAGCTGTACACTGGGACTGTGTCACTGTGCTATACAGCTCAGGGGCATTCTAAGAAGCCAGTCATGAAAGGTGTCCTTGACTCCCAAGTCTGTGCTGTTAAAGGTGGCACAGCTGCATTACACAATGTCCTTTTTTTTTTCTTAAACTTTAAAATACTTTTAAATTAGCATGCTAAGTGACAGTCTCACTGTGACACCTCACACACATAGACTTTGCACTTTGCTCAGTCCCCCTTCCCTCCTACTAGTCCCCTTCTTCCTTCAATGAGTACTTTCTTCTTTGCATGTCACATACACACATTTAAATCTAGATTCCACATATAAATGAAAACACATGATGTCTGTCTTTCGGAGCCTGCCTTATTTCACTTAACATGACGTCCTCTGGTTGCATCCATTTTTTCCTGAAAATGGCATGATTTTATTCCTCTTCATGCTTGTATAAAGCATGTGTGTATATACCAGGTCTTATTTATCCATTCATCTGCTGATTGGCATCTAGGCTGATCTTGGCTCTTGTAAATAGCCCAGAATGAACACCGGTATGCAATGTTTCTGGGGAGACAATGTCGTCTTTATGAGGAACTCCAGGGGAAGTTTCTATAATTTTCTACTTGATTTTGCTTCCTGGAAAAGTTTTTTTCTCATTTATTTGTTTATTTATTGAGACAGGGTCTTATTAAGATGCCCAGGTTGGCCTTGAATTCATTCTGTAGTCCACGTACGGCTGGAACTTATAGTCCTCCTGCTGCAGTCTCCTGAGTATCTGGAATTACAGGCCTGTGCCACCCAGCTCAGTGAATTTATTATTACTTTTTTAATGTATTCATTCTTATTTTATGTGTATAAGTGTTTTGCCTGCATATAGGTAGTGCATCCATGTTGTATAATGTCTTCAGAGGTCAGAAGAGGGTCTTGAATCCCCTGGAACTGGAGTTTAGAATAGTTGTTAGCCACCATGTGAGTGCTGGGAACTGAACCTGGGTCCTCTAGAAAAGCAGCCAGTGCTCTTAACTGCTGAGCCATCTTTTCAGTCCCTGAGTTTATTTTTTAATAGTATAGACACTATGAACTGGTAATTTTGTAGCCTTCCTTTCTTTCCTTGCCTTGTAGGAAGCTCAGAATCAATTTTGTAGTCTGAACGCAGCTGGTACACAGGGGTTGGTATTTGTGTTTTCAGTCTCATTGTTGACTCCAAACACAGATGTTCTGAAAGCTAACAGGAGGAAAGTTTGCTCTGCACCTTGCTTAGCCCCACTTTACAGATGACAGCACAGACGGTTGGGAGATGAAGTGGCTTGCCACTCGGTGAAGAAGAGGGAAAGCTGGTATTTGAACTTGTGCAGTCTGACTCCAGTTTCATTCCCCAGAGTGTCTTTGATTAACATCTTCTTCCTTTCTTATTTTACCCTATTTTGATCTTTTACTGCAGTTGAGTTATCCTTATGAGCTGCCAAAATACTACATTAATAAATACAATAAAGATCTTTGGTCTTTTGTTCTTGGACCCTATGTGACAAACTTACTTGAATGGATTCTTTAAGTAAATAATTTTTTCTTTTTTTAAAAAAATTTTATTTATTATTTTTATTTTATGTGTATCAGTGTTATGCCTGCATGTAGGTAAGTGCACCCGTATTGTGCAATGCCCACGGAAGACAGAAGAGGCTGTTGGCTCCCCTGGGACTGGAGTTATGGACAGTTGTTAGCTGCCATGTGGGTGCTGGGATTCAAACCCCGGTCTTCGGCAAGAACAGTCAGTGTTCTTAACTGCTGAGCCATCTCTCCAGCCCCAATTTTTGCTTTCTTATTGCCTCTAACTGGACTTCCAAAGAGGCTCCTTATGGATCTACTTCCAATAGTGTTTGCCTAATGTGCTGTTCTAATTCTTTCTGTTGCTGTGATAAAACACTGACCAAAATGAACTTAGGGAGGAAAGGGTTAATTTTCTCTTACATTTCACTGTCCTTTGAGGGAAGGCAGAGCAGGAACTCAAGGCAGGAACCCGGAGGCAGGAACTGAAGCAGAGACCACAGAGGAACGCTGCTATGGCTTGCTTTTCCCTGGGTGCTCAGCTGCTTTGTTATACGGCCCATGTATCCACAGTGGGCTGGGCCTTCCTACATTGATTAGCAATTAAAATGCCCCACAGACATGTGCCATTCCTCCATCATAAGCCAATCTGATGGAAGAAATTTCTCAATTGAAGTTTCCCTCTTCCAGGTGTCTAGTTTGTGTCAAGCTGACAAAAATTAACCAGCATATATTCTGTATTTTCCCTTAATATATCCATCCATCTATCCATTCATACATCTCACTATCCATATGATCTGTCCACCCATCAACCCATCTCTCCATCTCTCCATCTTTCCATCCATCCATCCATCCATCCATCCATCCATCCATCCATCTCTTCATCCATCTGTCCATGTGTCCATGCAGCCACCCACCCACATATCCATCTATTCATCTGTCCATCCATGCATCCACCTATCCACATGCATCCACAGAGAAGGGACTGTGAAGTAGTGTTCTTATGAGTTTAAAAATAGGCTTGGTAAATTTAGCTGAATCTTGGGCATGTATGCCTGGAGATCCTTGTCTTATCTCATGAGAAAGTTTATGCAAGAATGTTTGCTGGGGAGTCATCTCTGGAATGCCGGTACTCCCTTAGTTCCTCAGGAGACACTTTGTTCTCCCAGGAAGGCATACTATGGAGATAATGCTATCTTGCTAAAGTTTTACTGAACTGCTGTATTCTATATCATTACTCACTGTACTGTAAACATTCAGCTGTAGCTCCAATGAGTAGGAGTATAAAAGCAGAGTTGCCTGTGCTTTTGGCACTCATGTGTGTGAAAAAATAAAAGTGAAGAAATCACACGAGTCCCCTGGTTTTTTTTTTTTTTTTTTCAGTTCCATGATAATCCATTCAGGTTCTGTGGCTGCCCCCTGGTGACCACACATCTTCCATCCATCTATCCATCTATCTATTCATATATCCATTCATGCATGCATCTATCTCTTCACCCTTCTATCCAGCCATCTTTCCAACCATCCACTCATCTCTCCATCTGTCTCTCCATCTATCTCTCCTTCCATGCATCCACCTACCCATTTGTTCATCTGTCCATCCATCACTCATCCATCCATCTATCCATATATCCATCTTTGCTTTCATCCATCCTTCCATGCCCATTCATTCATCCATCCATTCATTCATCTCTCCATCCACTCATAACTTCATCCATCTACCTGCCCACTCGTGCATGCATCCATCCATCTCTCCATCTGTCCATCTTTCCATCCATCAATGTACTCATCTACCTTCCCATCCATCCATCCATCCATCCATCCATCCATCCATCCATCCATCCATCTAAGCTGGCCATGTGCTGGGGCCTGGGATAGGTCCTGGTCATAGACAAGGCTCCTGTCCTGGAACTTCTCCATTCCTGCTGAGAAGAAGAGAGGCACCTGTGGTGCAATCTCCATGGGAGACCCAGAGCAGAAAGTGTTCTCAGAAGGCAGTGGAAGAGCTGCTGGGGATGGTTTTTGGTGGTTGGTCATCATTATTTCCCACCAATAGCAAAAATGGGCTATGTGTATAAATGTAGATAAAGGGAATATGTGGCAACTCTTCCCCACTGTGCCTTACAAGTCTGTGGCCTGTAATAGGCTTCCCCCCCATTGACCTTGAACTCAGTTGTTGGTATATTTTATCCCCTGAGTCCTGTGTCTTTTCACTCATCCACTTAGGAATCTACAGGCTTTCAACTCGCTGATCCTTGGACACGTCCCTCTATTCCAAACGGAAACCAGTCTGACAGCTCCCGAGATCATTCTCCATCCTAATGTGAATGAGATCGATAAGATGTGTGTCCACTGTACTCGCAATTGTGTGGAGATCACCAAGGTAACATGGAGGTTCCTAAGGCAATCTGGGGGCCACTAAGGCAACATGGGGTCACCAAGAAAATGTGGGGGTCACCAAAGTAACAAGGAGCATCTGCTTGCCAGGCCTGCCCACCCTGCCCATGTGTGAACACAGTTCCAGAGGCTCCAGCAGACACTGGCTTAGTTTTGATCTTTCTCTTCCTGCCTCTGACCTGTGTGAAGCCATGAAACCTGGGTGTGGTCCCACAGCCTGATCTTGGCTCCTTGTTTTCCTCTCTTTTAAAAAATTCATTTCTATTTGGTAACCCTGGTTGACCTCAAACTCTCAGTGTAGCCGAGGATGATGCTGAATCTCTGATCCTTCTCTCTCCACCTCTTAGTGCTGGGATCACAGGTGTGTGCCACCATACCCAATTTTGTGCTGGGGACAGAACCCAGGGCTTTGTACCTGGTAGACAAACACTCTACCAATTGAGCCACATGCTCAGCTCTGCCCCTTTCTCTCATTCCATGCTACTCCATCAGGAGCAGCCACCACTCACCTAAACTCTATCACAGTGATGTTTCTAATCCATTAAGGGTGTTCAGTATAAGTTCAGGCTTATAATCCCAGCTACTTAGGAGGATGAGACAGGAGGATCTTGAGTTTAAGGCCTACCTGAGCAACACAGTGAGACTCTGTCATAAATAAACAGACTAATTAATTAATTAATCAATTAATTTTAATAAGAGACTAGAAAGATAGTCTAGCAGTTAAGACTGCTTGCTGGGCAATTGTGAGGACTGGAGTTTGGATCCCAGCATGCATGTAAAAGCTGGGAGTGTTCCTGTGCATGCCTGTAACACCAGCACTGAGGGGGCAAAGACAGGAGGATGAGTGGGATTATTAGCTGCCAGTCTTGCTGAAAACTGGAGCTCCAGGTTCAGGGAGAGACCCTGCCCCAAAGGAACAAGGTAGAGAGGAGGACACCTGACACCTGCTTCTGGTCTCCATGTGCCTCCATACATGTGAACCTCACATATCACATACATGCACAATACATATACACACACAAAATGCAAATCAAAACCAACCAACGAAAAAACCCAGGCAATAAAAAATTCAAATATTGTAAATTCATTATTTACTATACAATTTTAAAGACAAACCAAAAGAAAAACTGGAAAGTAGAACAAGGAATTTAAAGAGGTAAGTGGGGATTGGAGAGATGGCTCAGGGGTTAAGAGCTGCTTAACTGGCTGCTCTTTACGGAGAACCAGGGTTTGGTTCCCAGCACCCACATGGTAGCTAACAACTGTCTGTAACTCCAGTTCCAAGGGATCTGGCACTTTCTTCTGGTTTCCCTTGGGCACTGCACAACATAGGTGTGCTTACACACATGCAGGCAAACACTCATATACATATGAAAGGGGTAAGTGAATTAAAAGATCAGAGCAAAATGTCCAATATCCAACAAAAAGGAGGCCAGAAAAAGAACATACGATGAGAGGGGAGAGAAATATGTCTATAATGCAACAGGAAACCATCCCAGAAGAGGACAGAGATTTTCATTCTGAGTGGATCTACTGAGTACCTAGTTCAATGAATGGAAAAGGGCTACATCAAGAGAGACCTCTGAGCTGGGCACGGTGGCATGGGCCTTTAGTCCCAGCACTTGGGAGGCTCTCTGTGAGACTGAGGCCAGTCTGACTACATAGCAAGTGCCAGGCAGACTGGGACTAAATGGAGACCCTGTCTCAAAAAGATCAGAGAGAGAGAGAGAGAGAGAGAGAGAGAGAGAGAGAGGAGAGCGCTCATACATGTAATTCTACTAGCAAGGAAGCTGAGGCAGGAGGATCATGAGTTCAAGCCTGGGCTACAGCATGAGACTCTGTCCCAAACAAAACCCGTGAAGTGATTTCCCATGGCTGGCAGGACTCCCGGGGGCACTGCAAGCACCAGAGGTTGTGGTGCTTCCGCTCTCCCCTCCCACCCTGTTCTTGTCCCACCAGCACTTTGTCCGCTGGATGAACGGCAGCTGTATCGAATGCCCACCTCAGAAGGGTGAGGAGGAAGAGATCGTGATCATCAGCTTCTACAACGACATCTCCCTGAACCCCCAGATCATGGACCAAGCCGTCATGATCCCCCAGAACATCCACAGGCTCCTAGTCAACCTCATGAAGTACCTGCAGAAGTGGAAGCGCTACCGGCCCCTCTGGAAGCTGGACAAGTCCTTTGTCATGGAGAAGTTCGCGGCCAAGAAGCCGCCCTGCGTGGCCTACGACGAGAAGCTGCAGTTCTACTCCAAGATCGCGGCCGACGTGATGCGCCACCCGCTGGTCAAGGACGAGCACTGCATCCGGCTGCAGCTCGGGCCGCTGGCCAGCGCTGTGCAGGAAAAGGCCAAGTCCTGGGTGATCTCGCTGGGGAAACTCCTCAACGAGTCGGCCAAAGAGGAGCTCTTCAGCCTCCGGGATGAGATCGAGGTACCCCAGGACCCCGCTAATTTAAGACTAATCTTCAATGGGGGATTGTAGGGTGCTTGCCTCACACATGCCAGGCAGGGCCCTGGGTTCCACACATCCATTTCTGTTGCGGTGATAAAATATCCTGGCAAAGTTTTGGAGAGATGGCTCAGTGGTTAAGAGCACTGGCTGTTCTTGCAGAGGACCTGGGTTCGATTCCCAGAACCCACATGGTGGCTAACAACCATCTGAATCTTCAGTTCCAGGGAATCCAGTGCCCTCTTCTGGTCTCTGTGGGCATTGCATGACATGGGTGCCCTTACATACATGCAGGCAAGGCAAGGCACTCATACACATAAAATAAAAATAAGTAATTAAAAAACATTCTGACAAAGAGTGACTTTGGGGAGAAAGGGCTTGTTCAGCTTACAGTTCCAGATTGCAGTCCATCACTGAGGGGAAGTAAAGGCTGGAGCTCCAGCAGTCACATGACATTCACTGTCATGAAGAGAGAGATTAAAGGGTCCCGCTGAAGCTCTCTCTTCCCACCCTCCTCTTCTGCTTGCCCTCAGCTAGCTTTCTCTTCCCTTATACAGCTCAGGGCCCTTTGCCCAGGGAATGGTGCCACCCACAATGAGCTGAGTCTTTCCACATCTGTGAACAATCAAGACAATCCTCCAGAGACAGGCCCACAGGCCAACCTGATCTAGATTATTCTCCATTAAGACTCTACTCCCAGGTGATTCTAGGCTGCGTCAAGTTGACAGTTAAATTAGCCAGCACACATTCCCTGCACCAAAACCAGAGCAAACCCCCCAACTCTTCACAAAGGTGGTCTTCATTTGTCTCTCTTTATTGAATTATTTCACAGCACCTGGCCAAAAATCTTAAGAAGAGCCCCAACACCCTTGAAGATCTAAAGTTTGTTCTTGCGACAATCGCAGAAATTAGAACCAAATCTTTAGTCATGGAGCTGAGATACAAGGATGTTCAGGAGCGGTACCGCACCATGGTCATATACAGCATCTTTGTAAGTCAGCCTCGCTGTCCTGTGCCTCTGATGGTTGGGTTGACAACTGGACTAATTACTTTTCTGTGGCTGTGATAAAAACAACTTGAGGAAGAGACAATTTATTTTGGCTTATGGTTCCAGAGGCATGGCAACAGTTGGGGTCAGCATGGCTGGAGGAGCAGGATGCTGGCTGATCACATTTTCATCCACATACAGGAAGGAGAAAGAGAAAAGAGAGAGAGAGAGAGAGAGAGAGAGAGAGAGAGAGAGAGAGAATGAATGAACAGGAAATGGGAGAGAATGAACAGGAAATGGGATAAGACTATAAACCCTCAAAACCCACCCAATGACACTTCCTATAGCAAGGTTCCATAACCTCCCCAAACACCACCACCACCTGGGGACCAAGTGTTTAAATACATGAGCCTATTGAGAACATTTCTCACTCAAGCCACTACAGCTTCTCAGAAGGGTCTCTCAGTCACTTTGTCATCCATGAGTTTCCAAACTGAAGTAGGAAATTGTCAGCTGCCAGTGGGCAGCAACCCCGCAGACATTTCACTGAACTTAAACTCACAAGGTGCTATCTAGACATGTCCATAATGGCATACTATGTCGTCTCTCTTCCCTTCTTTTTCTTGGGGGAAAGGATCATTTCCTATAAAAAAAAAGAGAGAGAATTCTTGTAAAAACAATAAGAGAAAGGGCCATCAAGATGGCTGAGCAGGTAAAGGTGCTTGTTATGCAAACCTGGAGACTGAGTTCCATCCCTGGAACCCATGTAAAAGTGTAAAAGAGAACTGTACCGTGGCATGTGCATCTATGCACACATCATACACACATGATACACATAATAATGAGAGAAAAGGGTATGAGATGATAGAGGAGGCTGCTGGAGAATGAGGTGATTGGTCTGTCTTTGTTTCAGATGGTTAGGCATCATTGCCTTGTGATGTGTGGGGGTGAGTTTGAGCAGCTGGCCTCCCCCTGAAATGGTGAGACTCTGCACCGTGTCCGTTTTCTGGTGAGAGGAGCTCTGGCTTTCAGTTCAGGCTACAGTACAATGAAGGCATTAAGACAATAACCATAACCCCCTTGAATCTGATACTAGAGGTGTTGTGTGTGTGTGTGTGTGTGTGTGTGTGTGTGAATGCGCGCATCTCTGTAAAGATATTTGATTACTGATTTGGTTTTTATTTTTTATTATCCTAAAACGTTTTATGTTTTATATGTGTGCAGATGTGTTTGGGCACACATGTGTCACGGTGAATGTGTGGAGGTCAGAGAACAGTTTGTGGGAGTCACTTTTCTCCTTCCACTATGTGGTCCTGGGGATCAAACTCAGGTGATCAGGCTTGGCAGCAAGTGCCTCCACCCACCTAGTCATCTTGCTGACACCTGAGTTTTTGTTTTTGTTTTTGTTTTTAAATGGCTACAGAACTCTACAGGATTTCTGTTTCTTCTCCTCCTTTGGGTTGACAGGATAACAACAATAATAATCATTAACATGTGTAGGGTGTGTGTGTGTGTGCACATGTGTAGAGGCCACTTCCTCAATCATTCTCCACCTTTTTTGAGACAGGATCTCTCACTGAGCCTGGAGCTCACTGATTCAGCTAGGTTGACTAGCTAGCAAGCTCCAGGGATTTGCCTGTCTCCACCTCCCTAGGGCTTGGATTACAGGTGTGCAACTCTGTACCTGTCTTTTTACATGGGTGTTGGGAATCAAATTCAATCTTCCTGATTGTGTAGAAAGCATTTTTATTGATGCATCCATTTCTCCAGCCTCCTGGTTGACAAATATTTTTTGTCTTTTTTTTTGAAACAGGGTCTCCCTGTAGCCCCAGCTGGCCAGGAACTAACTATGTAGACCAGGCTGGCCTTTAACTCACAGAGATCTGCCTGCCTCTGCCTCCCTAATGCTGGGATTAAAGGTGTGCACCGCCATGCCTGGTGACAAATTTTTTTTAAAGTAATTGTACCATCTTAATTTCAAATTTGTGTCATAAAAATGATCATACTTTTATTGTCTCTGATGGCTGTGGACTTGCCAAGCATTCCCACACTAACTCCTGGCACTGGATAGTTCTAGTTTGCCTTATCTCTCTTTCCTTGATCTGACTCAGTAGATAGTTATTGGTTAATTTTTTAGCTTTTGTGAATACCTAACACACATATAGAGAATTGCAGACCATAAGCATTTAGCTTGATAGATTCTCACACAGAGCCCACTCCTTGTAGCTGGCACCAGATGAGGAAATATAACGTTGCCATGTTCCACAAGCTCCCCCCTCAGACGTTCTCCTTGCAAAGGTAACTTCTACCTTGATCTCTAATACTATTGATGCTAGTGGCCTGTTTTTAAGCACTATAAAAATGGAATAATGAAGTGTGTACTTTTTGTGTCTTTTTTCACTCAATTGCACATTTTTGAGATTCAACCATTGTTCCTATTCATGGCAGTAGTTCAACCTTGTCTCTGCTATGTAATGGTCCGTTGTACAGTCGTACCACCAAATGCTACTAGGACTGTTTCTAGTGTTTGGATGCTGCGACATTGTGCTAGGGCCACATTAGCATCCACTTTTGCTGCTCAGATGCAAGTGTTCATCTCTGTCGGGCATCAGGCCGGAAGTGGAATTTCTGGGTTATGAAGAATTCTAATAATCAGCTTTACTATTTCCTGCTCGTTTACCAAAAAGAAAGTGCTTGAGTGCATTGATGTCAGTATGTGAGAGGGTTCCTTCCAGTGGCACCATCCCTGTCCGCACACAAGGTGCTAGTACTCTCTCTGTCTCTGCCTCTGTTGTTTTGACTGGAAAGTTAATAGTGCATCCTCCTGTGGATCTGTCTGAAGTTAGTCTGGTTTAATAAGCTTTTCTTGTCTGCTTTGAAGGTCTCTTTCTGTGTTTGGTTTTCAAGAGAATATGACAAAACTACTTTTTTCTTTTCTTTTTATTATTATTTTAAAAATTATATGTCTATGTGTGGGTATGTGCACATGAGTGTGGGTGCCCAAGGAGATCAGAAGAGGGCAAGAGGGCATCAGATTCCCTAGAGCTGGAGTTACAGGTAGTTGTGAGCTGTCATGTGGGTGCTGGAAATTGAACTCAGATTCTCTGCGAGAGCAATAATTGCCCTTAACCACTGAGCCATCTCTTCAGCCCCATCTTTTCTTTTCCTTTTAAAATCTTGATTGCGTTTTGTAATATTTTAAATGTTTATTTATTTACATTTTATTTATTTATTTTATGTGCATGTGTGTGGGGGTACACTTGTGCCATGGTGTACATGTGAGGCCACAGGACAATCTGCAGGAGTTGGTTCTCTCCTTCCATCGCATGGTCATGGGAATCAAATGTAGGTTGTCAGGCTTGGTGGCAAGAACCTTTACCCACTGTGCCATCTCAGTGGCCCTGTAATATTTTTTAAATGAGCTTATTCACTACTTTATTTAGTTTTGAGAAACCAGTGCCTTTTGCTCCGTGCTCTTCTTTTAGGACTCCAGTCGCCTGCGTGTTAGTCCTTTTCACCTCCCCACTCTGCCTCTTATGTTTACATCTGTCATTGCTTCCTGTGGTTCATTCTGAACATGCTGACCCGAGCCTTCCATGCCCTGATCTTTTCTCCAGCTGTTTCTGACCTGTTGGCACTGGTTCCTTAACCAAAACTTCAATCTCTTAATTTTAAGGTAGTAATCATAGGTTCTAGAATTCCCATTTTAAAACATCTCCTGTCTCTGCCCAATTTCTCAAGTTTGGTTTATTTTCTCCTTTTGTTTCATTGACTTCAAGTAAAATTTGGTCTAATTCTGTCTCAGACCTTTGTTGTGATCTGTGTGCATGATCTGTGACTCTCTTGGCTTCGTTACATCCTTTGTATCTTTATAAGCTTGGTGTTTCTGTCTAAATTCAGCACATTGTTTATGATAAATTGTGGAGAGAATGGGAGATCATAGGTGGTATGATATTCTGAAAGTATGTGTGGACATGTTAGGCCAGCGGAGTCTTATTTTCATCAGAAATTCAATTGACTTGAAGCTAGGCTTTATTTTACAAAGGGTTTAGCTCTCTGGGTCACCTCTGTTCATCCAATTATTTATTTTTAAGTTATTTTATCTCGGACTAGGGGTGTAGGTCCATGGTAGATCATTTTCCTGGCATTCCCGAGAACTTTGGGTCAATCTCCAATACTGAAAAAAAAGATGGAAAACCATTTGATCTGGATTTCATTTTAATTACAAAAATGTAATTTTAGCCAGGCGTAGTGGCACATACCTATAATCCCAGAACTTGGGAGGTGGAGGCAGGAGGATTGGGGGTTCAAGGTCATCCCTGGCTATATAATCAGTTAAAGATAAGCCTGGGCTACATGAGACCTCATCTTAAGAACAAACATGAGTGTAGGGAGATGGCTCAATGGCTTAGAGTAGGCACTGTTCTTGCAACGGACCCAAGTTTAGTTTCCAGCACCCATGACACTACAAGTGCCTGTAACTCCAGCTCCAGGGGGGTTGGATGCCTCTGGCCTCCATGGACACTGCACTCATGTGCACAAACCTACACACAGATGCACATAATTAAAAAATAAAAAATAACTTGGGAGGCAGAGGCAGGCATATCTTTGTAAGTTCGAGGCCAGCCTGGTCCACATAGTGAGTTCCAGGATAGCTGGGGCTACAGGGAGACCCTGTCTCAAAAAGACAAAAAAAAAAAAAAAAAAAAAAAAAAAAAAGAAATCAAAACAAACAATCAAAAGAACACAATTTTAATATTTCAACTAGTTTTTTCAGTTGGTTTCAGTGTCTCATCTGGTTGTGCTTAGAAACAGAGGTCTATGGGAAGCAGCTGTGACCAGAAATTTCAATCCCAACATTACTAGTAATTTTTTCTCTGTCTGTCTGTCCAGCCTTCTGAGGCTGAGCAGGAGCTGGTTGACAAGATTGAGAGCATGTGGGAAAATCTCTTCATGGAATCGGTGAATGTAGAACACGCACTTGGGGGCATCAAGAGAACTTTCACCGAGGTGCGGGTTATACCCTAACTCTGTGTGAGGACTGGGGGCTGGTGGAGCTGGGAGTAGAGTACTGGCCTAGTGTGTGAGGCCCTGGGCTCCCTCCCCAGCACTGGGGCTAAGTTGGAACAACCTTCTCTGCCCAGATCACTCGTGGTGAGATAATGAACTACAGACTCCAGATGGATGAATTTGCCAAGCAATTCTACAGCCAAGGCCCTGGGGCTGTGGGTGAAGATCTCAACAAAGGTGAGATGGTCATGGGGTGCTGAGGACTTAGAGGGCTTGCCTGAGAGGCTCACGGGAAGCAGTGAACACTACCACCTTCTGAATCCCTCTCTGCTTTGTTCCTCTGAATTCACTCTTCGGGCTTGTCTTAGTTTGTTTCTTCATTGCTGTGACAAAATACTCTGACCAATACCAACTTGGGGAGGAAAGGGTTTACTCAGCTTACATCTCTCAGGTCTCAGTTCATCAGAGAGCCCAAGGTAGACTCAGAGCAGGAACCTGGAAACAGGAGTTGGAGCACAGGCCATGGAGGAACGCTGCTTACTGACTTGCTCCCCTGGCCCCTGCTCAGCCTGCTTTCTTATGCAACACAGGCCCACCTGCCCAGGGGTGGCACCACCCACATTACTCAACAATCAAGAACGTGCCTCATGGACATGGCCACAGGCCAGTCCAATGAAAGCAATTCCCCAATTGAGGATCCCTCAACCCAGGTGTGTCAAGCTGTCACTAAAGCTATCCAGCACAGAGCTTAGACCCTGGACCATACCATGCTAGTTCCCCACAGTGCCAGGCACTCTTCTGTCATTATGACCAGTATCTGAGAGAAATGGTTTAAAGGAAGAAGGATTTATTTTGGCTCACAGTTTCACAGGTCCATGGCTGGCCAGGTCCATTACTACCACGAGGTAGACCATCACTGTGGGGGGAGTACATGGCTGAGGAAGCTGCTTACCTTACAGCAGCAAGGAAGCAGAATGAGTGAGAAATGTGTCCCCAGTGACCCATTTCTACTGACCAGCCTCACTTCCTAGTTTATCACTTCCCAATGATGTCATCAAATTATATATTCATTAATGGACTGAGCCACTGATTAGCTCAGAGCTTATTTTTCAAATTGATTTTATGTATGTGTTCGTGTATGTATATGTGTGTGCATATGTTGGAGGACAGCCTCAGTTTATCCTCAGGAACACTGTCCATCTCCTTTGAGTCAGGGGGTCTCACTGGCCTGGAGCTCAACAATTTCACCAGGTTGGCTGGCCAGGGAGCCCCAGGGATCCTCTGTCTGCATCTTTACCATGGTTACCACCATGCCTGGCTTTTTCATGTGGGTTCTGGAGATAGAACTTAAGTCCTCAGAGTTCAGAGTGAATTACCTCTCAGTGACTGGATCCACCAGTTGAGGATCAAATCACCCACACATGAGCCTTTTGGCGGATACTTCACCTGTAAAACCCAACACCTGTCCTTCAAATGATATGAGCCAAAAGGACGAAGAGAATGTCCTTACTCTAAACAAGATGCGATGAGACTGGTATGGACCACAGCCTACCAGGTCTTCAGATTTTAGGAACGCTTAAAAGGCCTCTGGGATAGGTGGTATTTGGGTGGGTGACTGGAGACCCAGTGACATAAAATGACAATGGCTGTGGGAAAGAAGCACAGACTTGAAGTGTGAAGGGAGCTTCCAGCCTGAAGAGGAAAGGTGAAGGGCAGCAGAGAGGAGCAATTGATGTGACAGGGAATAAGGCAGTTTCCTTCAATAGCCTTACTTCCGACATGTTCTGGGTGCAGGAAATCAATAGTCTAACTGGAGAGGTTTGCAGGGGTAAGGGACCTCATGTGGGTGAAATTCTAATTTATACAGTTTATGACTGATTTCTTACTCAATTTAATTAATTAATTAGTTTGTTTTTTGAGACAGGGTCTCCCTGTAGCCCCAGCTGTCCTGGAACTCCCTATGTAGACCAGGCTGGCCTTGAACTCACAGAGATCCATTTACCTCTGCCTCCTGAGTGCTGGGATTAAAGGCGTGCGCCACCATGCCCAGCTTTCTATTCATTTATTTTATTATTTATTTATTTATTGTGTATTTATTTAATTCTATTTCTTTATTCAGTGTGTGTACATGCCACGGCATGCATGCAGAGGTCAGAGGACAGCTTGTGGGAATCATTTCTCTCCTACCATGTGGGTACCAGGATGGAACTCAGGTTGTCAGGCCTAGTGGGAAGCACTTTGCCCACTGAGCCATCTCGCTGGCTCTCAGTTTTATATACTTACAAGTTTTAGGCAGGATGCTCATTTTGTAGCCCTGGCTGGCCTGGAACTCGCAGTGATCCTCCCACCTCTGGCTCTGAGTACTGGAATTAGCGGTGTGGGCCATGCCTGGCTTGCACTCGTGTTGGATCTCCCACTTTTCTTTGCACCTGTTTTCTAGGCATAGACCTGCTAGGGAGTTTTGAGAGGGAGCTGGCAAAGCACGAGAAGAACCGGCAGGAGCTGGCCAATGCGGAGAAGCTCTTTGACCTTCCGATCACCATGTACCCCGAGCTGATCAAAGTGCAGAAGGAGATGACTGGGCTCAGAATGATCTACGACCTGTATGTGGCCCTGAAGGTGTGCCCCTCCTTGAGGACTTGATCCCAGCTGGCCATAGGGATGCACACTTGTGACCTCAGCACTTGGAGGCTGAGAAGGGAGGATTCTGAGCTCCAGGCCAGCTGGGCAACTTATTGAGGCCATGTCTTAAAAAAACTAAAAAAACAAAAACAAAACGCAAACCAAACAACTCCTCCCCAGAGGAGCAGATTCGTGAGACCCATGTCCTTGATGCCAAGGATGTACCTACTGTCTTTTTGTGAATATGGGTGTGGGTGTGCATATGAATGTAAGTGGGGGCCAGAGTCAACCTCAGGTATTATTCCTTCAGAGCCATCTACCTTGTTTTTTTGAGACAGGGTCTCTCACTGGCATGGAACCTGCAATTAGTCTAGATTGACTGGCCAACAGTGTTGGGATTATAAGCAGGTACCACCATGCCCAGCTTTTGTATGGGTCCCAGGACTCAAACTCAGAACCTCAGGCTTGTACAGCAAGTGCTTATCAACTGAACCAGGTCTATGCTGGCTTGGGTGAAGTTACTCTGGTCCTGCTAGGTCCTCTTCCTCCTACCCAAACTGTGGGAATCTGGTCCTACTGCCACCTGAGACCCACTTGTGTGAGCAGGGCCCCCTGTAACCTGGCTGCGCAGCTCTTACCTGTTTGTCTCCTTTCTCAGTCTCTAGCCACTTACGGCTGGTTCTCACACATTGAATTTGTTTTTTCTAGAATAAATCTATAGAACATATTATGACAGTTAATCTTCAGAAAGGCTGTTAAAAAGAAAGCAGAAAGAATAGGAAGAAAGGAGGCAGTCAGCTTGGGTATAGACAGCTGGGGTATAGGCAGCTTGTCAGTGTATTTTGTTTTTGAGAGAAGAGAGATGGGCTGTGCTGGCTGGGGAGATGTGGAGGCCTATGATTCTTGTGTTTGAGACAATCTCACTATGTAGCCCAGGCTGGCTCTGAATTTATGAGCTTCCTGCCTTTGACTGCTGAGTGCTGGGATTATGGGTATGTGCCACAATACCCAGTTCTAGTTTTCTTTCTTTCTTTTAAAAAAAAGATGTGTTTTTTAAATGTGTGTGTGTGTCCACTTATGTGTATGCATGCAATGCCTGGTGGAGGCCAGAAGACGGTGTTGGATCTCTTGACACTGGAGTTGTAGCGAGTTGTTAGCCACCATGTGGGTGCTGGGAACTGAACATGGGTCCTCTGAAAGAGCAGGAAGTAATCTTAACTTCCAAGCCATCTGTCCAATACCATAATTTTCTTTTACGATGAGAGAAATTATGCTGTGATTTTCTGTATGGTAGAACATCCAGCAAAGAGAATAGAGGGGAATCCAGACAGATGATTATCCTTGGGCTTTCCTTTGACATAGTCACAGCACATTCTTGCAAAGACAGGTAGTGAATCATTGAATATAATCAATCTAAAAAGTCAAAAAACGTTTGAGCCTTATTTTTATTTATTTTATGTGTGTGTTCGTGTGTGTGTGTGTGTGTGTGTGTGTGTGTGTATGTGTGTGCATGTATAGAGGTTGGAGGACAACCTCAGGTGTCATCTTCAGGAACATTGTCCACCTCCTTTGAGTCCAGGTCTCTCAGTGGCCTGGAGCTCACCAATTACACCAGGCTGGCTGGCCAGAGAGCTACAGGATCCTCCTGTCTGTACTTGTGCTGCAATCACCATGGCCACCACCACACTTGGGTTCAGAGGGCCACAGGGATCCTTCTGACTGTACCTACCCAGTGGGATCACCGTGCTGCCACCACACCTGGGTTCTAGGGATAGAACTCAGGTTCTCACACTCACACTGCAAGTGCTTTCCCAACTGAGCCATCTCCCAGTCCTTAAACTCTAATTTTATTTTTTGAGATAGGGTCTTGTTATGTTACTCAGGCTGATCTTGAACTCCTGCACTCAAATGATCCTCCTGCCTCGACTTCCAGAGTAACTGGGACTATGGGCACATGCCACCATGCCAAACCGTTTAAACTTTTTCTGTCTGGATGAGCAATGTTTCCTATTTTTTTTTTGGTGCTGAGGATGGGACCCAAGGTTGTCATGTAAACTAAGCACATGCTCTACCACTGAGTTGTGACCCAGCTCCAGGGCCAGCAATGTGAACAAGAGCCATTGTGCAGCCTCCTCTATTGGAGAAGCAGGACAGACAGCCTGTGAGCCAGAGCCATCTCTGCTTACAACTTGCCTCCTGCCCACTGTCTAGTTCCTGCCTTTGTATAGGGAAAGGAAGGTGTTATGGGATGGTGCACACCCTCAGGTGCAGTGTGATGCTGGGGAGAACTCAGAAAAGCTGAAGCTCTTTCTTTCTGGCTCAACAGTTGCCCCTGTGAGCTCAAGGCTGCTGTGGAGAGCTGAGCAGCCCAGCTAGGCACAGCCCCCCTCCCTGCCCCGACTCTTCCTTTGCAGTTCCTGTGGGTACTGTTCCCAGACTGATTTTGCTCACATTTCTAGGTTTCAAAAGAAGAATGGTCTCAGACCCTCTGGATCAATCTGAATGTCCAGCACTTGCAGGAGGGAATCGATGGTTTCCTGAAGAACCTCCGAAAGCTGCCACGGCCAGTGCGCAGCTTATCAGTGGCCTGCCACTTGGAAGCAAAAATGAAGGCATTCAAAGACTCCATCCCATTGCTTCTTGCCCTGAAACATGAAGCCCTGAGAGAGAGGTTGGTTCTGTCCTCCATCAGCCTGTGGGAGGGAGCTTTCAGACCTGCCCCCACTAGGCTGGGTAGGGGACCAGGGAAGGGTTCAGCGATGATGCACAAAGTGGATGGTGATGGTATTGTTTCTATATGATGATCAACTCCAAGGATTATTTATAAAAATGACCCCAGCTGGGCATGGTGGTACATGCGGCACCCAGAAGGCAGAGGCAGGCAGATCTCTGTGAAATTGAGGCCAGCCTGGTCTACATAGCAAGTTCCAGGCTAGTTGGGGCTACAGGGAGATGTTGTGTCAGAGAGAGAGAGAGAGAAGAGAGAGAGAGAGAGAGAGAGAGAGAGAGAGAGAGAGAATGGTTGCTTTATTCAAAGGTTTAAAAAAATTAAAATAAAGAGGCCTTGATGAGCTGCATTCAGGAGAAATGGAACATGGCCACAAATGTCACTTTTAGTTTTTAGTTTCTAGGCGTTACAGCGAAAGAATAAAAATAGCTGGGAGTGGAAGCACGCACTTGTTATCCCAGCACTGTAAGGGATGAGGCAGGAAGATAGAAAGTTTCAGGAAACCAGGGTTATATACATAATGAAACCTTGTCTCAAAAAACCAAAAGGAAAAAAAAATAATACAAAGGAACAGATGAAAGTCGTCTTTTTTGGGGGTGGGGATGGTTGAAATAGAATCTCACTCTGTAGTCCAGGCTGGCCTAGAACTAAGTTATCTAGGCTGGCCTCGAACTCATGGCAATGCTTCTGCCTCAGCCTCCCAAATCCTGGGATTATAGGTGTGAGCTATCGCTCCCAGCTTGGAATTAATCTTAATCATATATGTTAATTGACTCAATATATCTAAAAGATCATTTCAGCATATAATAAATATAAAACATTAATTCCTGAGATACTTTACTTTCTTAAAGAACATTCATTGAAATCTAGTATGCATTTTGCACTATGAGAAAATTTCAGTTTGGACTTGCCCAGCAGCCACGTGGGGCTCGTGAATGCCATATCAGATGTACTACAGGTCTCTCTAGTGTTTGATGGAGGCACGGTCTGGTGGTGGGTTGGAGGAGGCTAGTCCCAGGCCATTTCATGCAGACAGGAATTAGCCAGAGCTCTGTGGAGTCATTTCTTTCTGAGTGTTCCTGTCTCCTCTGCCATATTTCCCAGAGTCTGGTCATAGAGTCACAGGATGACACCATGTGGCTTCATTTTATTTAGTGAGAAAATCTTTTCCCATCTCCTGTCTGGACTGTTGTCCAGAGGCTCATGTGATGATGCCTGGTGCCTAGCAGGGGGCGCTTATGGAAGTGCTGGAAACTAGAAGGCAGAGCCTCTTGGTGTCTCTGTCTCTGTTTCTGTCAATTTCTCTCTCTCTCTCTCTCTCTCTCTCTCTCTCTTTCCCTCTCTTTTTTCTCTTTTCCCTCTTCCCCTTTCTTTTTCTCTCTCTCTCTCTCTCTCTCTCTCTCTCTCTCTCTCCCTCTTTCCTTCCCTTTTCCCTCCCTCCTGTCCTCCAAAATATGAACATCTTGCCTCTTCCCATGCTCCCGGCCATGATGCTGTATCTGACCATGGCCCAGAACTGACAAGTGACCATGAACTGACCCTCTGAACCCTTCCCTCCAATAAGTCGCTTTTCTCAGGCATTTTGTCCCAGTCACAGGGAGCTGACAAGCACACTGTGCTGTCCACACAAATAAGAAGGTCTCTTGTGAGTACTCCCTATCTGTCCCTTTCAGCCCAGAATGGCAGTCCTCAAGCCAACTAACATGGCTTGGCAGTCCTCAAGCCCAGTTAACATGACTCTTAGATCACCTTTGTTCCTGTGCCACTCACAGACCCAGAGTGCTTGCTGCCTTTGCTCATAGATTGTTCTCTGTAAACAGACATAGACATTTGCATGTGGGAGGCCCCAGTTCATGATCTCATAACCCATGGGTTCCTAGACTCTGGTCATGTCTCTCCATGTTCACCATATCTGAGTCACTGCTGTTGTCCAATTTATTCTTCTTTCTTTCTTTCTTTCTTTCTTTCTTTCTTTCTTTCTTTCTTTCTTTCTTTCTTTCTTTCTTTCTTTCTTTCTTTCTTTCTTTCTTTCTTTCTTTCTTTCTTTCTTTCTTTCTTTCTTTCTTTCTTTCTTTCTTTCTTTCTTTCTTTCTTTCTTTCTTTCTTTCTTTCTTTCTTTCTTTCTTTCTTTCTTTCTTTCTTTCTTTCTTTCTTTCTTTCTTTCTTTCTTTCTTTCTTTCTTTCTTTCTTTCTTTCTTTCTTCTTTCTGCCAGAGTCTCAGGATTTAGCCCAAGCTGGCCTCAAACTCTTACTCTTCCTCCCTCGGCTTCCAGTGCTGAGATTATAGGCATGTGTCACAGCGCCTGGCTTACCCAGTGCTTTTCCCCCTAGAGTGTAAACAGTTTGTACTTATAGGGCTCCAGTGGTAGAGCACTTGCCTAACATGTGCAAGGCTCAGGGTCCCAGCCCCAGCTTTGCATAAAACAAGCATGCAAAACAACCAACTTGCAGTTTAACACCACATAGTGATGTGTTACAGTGCTTTGTTGGGGGACATGCCAGCTGTCTATACCATATGGCAGAGGTACATCACAGACCTGATTTCCTGGTAACTCATTCTGGGAAGTTCCCACAAAGCTGAGATTGTGTGGTGATGCATTTCTCAAAGCATATCCCCCCTGTTAAACAATGCAGGATTGCATTTGATGTGTAGATTTGCTTACTATTAACTGTTTATCCAAGCAGGTGATGGGCTCCCAAGGCCAGGAGCTGGGTGTGGGGTTACCAAGTGTCCCCAGAGCCAACCCCGCTTCCCCACGCTCAGCCTCTTAGTTGACACTAGGTTCTCCCACAGGCTCAGTGACATGGCAGAGGTCCAGACCACTGCTCTAGAGGCCACCACAGAAGCAGTTTCAAAAAACTAGAAGCCATGAGTTTTCTTAGTGTCCATGTTACCCATACAGGACAGGTCTTGCTGATGTTTCCTAGATTTAACTATGACCAGGGAGGGGGTTTTGGAAAACCTTGGGAGTGCAATCTGCACGTTGTCCTGTGTCACAGAGCCACTGCAGAGGTTTTCCTACAGGGGATGGGGGGGATGGGGGGGAGCTGGGGAGCTTCATCCTGGGATTTCAGTGGGAACAGTTAAGCTCTTCCCTGAGTTTCCCCTGGGAAAAGTGTTAATGCCATGTGATTCCAGGCACTGGAAAGAACTCATGGAGAAAACAGGTGTGTTTTTCGAGATGACTGAGACCTTCACACTGGAGAACATGTTTGCCATGGAACTGCATAAACACACAGAGGTGCTCAATGAGATTGTCACTGCAGCCATCAAGGAGGTTGCCATTGAGAAGGTAGGCCTGTTTAGCGCTTCAGAGGACAGAGAGCTGGGATAGAACCTGGGCCCTTGTACATGCTAGGCAAGTGATCTGCCACTGAGCCATGCCCCAGCCCTTGGTATGTTGAGACAGGATCTCACTGTGTAGCCGAGGCTGACCTGAACTCATGATTCTCCTGCCTCAGCCTCCTGAGTGCTGGGATTTTGTGACTGTGCCACAACCCTGGCAAGGGCCATTCCTTCATTTAAGCAGAAACACATATGCTCTAGTAGCTAGAAAAATGGAACTTCTGCCTTGGTTAACAGTTCGACGATCCTGAATGTAGTTCCAGGTTCTGTTTACTGATGATGGAAGAAATAGACATCTATGGGAAACATTTTACAAAGAAGCAAAGTTACTTACAGCCTGACCATCTGAAGGCACTTGTTGGTGTCTTACTGAATATCGTTTCCTACTTAGGATGCATGTACAAAGATCAAAATGCATTACATATGTATACAAAAATGTTACTTAAGCCCAATCTGCACAACTAATCCAAGCCATAAAAATTTTAAAGGTGCACAGACACATGAATACATATGGACACATGTACACACAACATGTATGAATGCACCCATGAATGTATGCATAAAACATACACTCATAGATTCATGTAATGCATATGTGCATATTCATACACATATGTAAATAAACACACATACATATGCATAAGATGTACACATATTGTCTTAGCTACTTTTCTCACTGCTATGATAAAATACTTGACACAAGCACCTTGAGGAAGGAAGGATTTATTTTGGCTCACATTTGAGGGTGAGTCCATTATGGTGGGGAGCATGGTGGCAGGAGCAAGAGACAACTGGTCACATTGAATCCAGTCAGGGAACAGACAAGAGTTGCTGGTGCCCAGCTCGCTTTCTCCTGTTTATACAGTCTAGGAGCCCAACCTAGGGGGTGGTCCTCCTTCCAGGTCTTCCCACCTCATTTAACCTAATCAAGATAATCCCTCCCTAGCATGCTCAGAGACTGTCTTGCAGGTGATCTTATCAAGCTGACAATTCAGATTAACATTATACATGTGAAGCCGGGCATGGTGGCACACGCTTTTCATCCCAGCACTTGGGAGGCAGAGGCAGGTAGATCTCTTTGAGTTCAAGGCCAGCCTGGTCTACATAGTGAGTTCCAGGACAGCTGGGGCTATAGGGAGACCCTGTCTCAAAAAAAAAACAAAAACAAAAACTAAAACCCCAAAACAAAAACAAAACATTACACATGTGCATCTATGTAGAGACATACATGCAGATTGATACAGACTTTTTAAGAGAATGGAGTCATCACTTTGCACTCTGATGTTCTTGCTTGGTAGTACAGTGAATGCAGGGCAGGACTTCTAGGCACACAGGCTCTGGAGCTGACTGTGGAGTGGAGACTCAGCAGCACACCTGGCCCACTTGGTGGTCTTTCTGGGTCTGTCTCTGTATAATGAGAGCTTGGTAAACAAGGACCACTGTTACTGTGAGAATCTCGACTTTTTAGAAGACTGAGCTTCGAGTTGTATTGAGCTGCTATCTAAGGACAAGGTAGGAAGGTGGCTGCTGGTTCAAGACCCTGCTCTATGAGTTTATGGCCTGAGTGCTTCTTTCTGTGTTCCCTGACCAGGCGGTGAAGGAAATCCTAGATACCTGGGAGAGCATGAAGTTCACAGTGGTGAAATACTACAAGGGCACGCAGGAGCGGGGCTACATCCTGGGGTCTGTGGATGACATTATCCAGTGTCTGGATGATAACACTGTCAACCTGCAGAGCATCTTGGGCAGCCGATTTGTGGGGCCTTTCCTGCAAACTGTTCATAAGTGGGAAAAGACGCTATCTCTGATAGGAGAGGTCATTGAGGTGAGAGCAAAGCCAGAGGGCACTGTGGAGCCAATTAATGGCAGGAAAAGAACTTCCTATGAAAACATTTTGTGATTAGAAATAAATGCATGGCCCCATTTTATACTTGATTTATTTGGGGGGTGCAGTGCATGGTTGGAAAGGCTGATGTGTTTTGATTTCAGGGAATGAATTTTAAAATTCTAATTCCAGCCCCAGATTCTTAACTGAACTTTTAACAAATGTGTCTCTGTTCTGTTTTCATACCATCCTGTTGTTGTATAAGTGCTTTTACCTGATTCCTTTCTGCTTTTCTTTTCATGCATGATTTTTCTTTTTGTGTCTGTTGATTACCGTGGTGGTAGTTTTTCTCTATGTAATTTTAGTTTTCTTTGATTCATCTCATCTAAAGTTTTTTCTCCTGCTTGCTTCACTTCCTTTTTTTTTTTTTTTTTTTTTTTTTTCTTTTTGACACAGGGTCTCCCTGTAGCCCCAGATGTCCTGGAACCACTATGTAGACCAGCCTGGCCTTGAACTCACAGAGATCCGCCTGCCTCTTCCTCCTGAGTGCTAGGATTAAAGGCGTGCACCACCACGCCTGGCTAACTTCACTTCCTTTTTAAAAAAATATTTTACTTATTATTTTTACTTTTTATGTATATGAGTGTTATGCCTACTTGTAGGTAAGTGCACCAGTGTCGTGCAATGCCTGCAGAGGACAGAAGAGACTGTTAGCTGCCATGTGGATGCTGGGATTTGAACCCGGATCTTCTGCAAGAACAGTCAGTGTTCTTAACTGCTGAGCCATCTCTCCAACCCCTGCTTCACTTCCTTTTCAGACTCTCCAGCTTGGCTTGTCATTTTGTGTGGTAGGGAAGTCCTGCATGGACAGTGAGCAAAACAAGCAAATCAGGCTCAGTTCTGTTTTGGGGCAGCTTCCTTTGTTCCTCCCATTTTCATGGTCACAGCCTGGCTTTCTGGCTAAGAAGCTTAACCCAGGTCTTCTTATCATACCTCAGCTTCCTTGACTTGCTGTGCTTGTTTCTGCCTGTGACTTTTTGTGAAAGCTCTGGTGTAGGACATGGCATTGTTTCCTTTGTATTGTTTGTTTGTGGTGCTGGGGATTGATTTTAGGGGCCTCCTATATACTAGATAAGTACTCTACTGCTGAGCTATATCCCTAGCCCTCTTCTGTAGGATTTAAATTTTTTTATTGAGATTAAATTTACATAACATAAAACTGACCATTTTGTTTTGCAATATTGTGTGTGGTGTGATGTATGTGTTTTCCTGGGTGTGTGCATGTGCGTGGAGGCCAGAGGTTGATGTCAGGTGTTTTCCTCTCTTGCTCCTCATCTTATTTTTGGACAGGGTCTCTCATTAAACCTGGAGCTCACTGACTGGCTGGACTGGGTAGTTAATGAGGCACAGGGATCCTCTTGTCTCTACCCTCTCAGCCCTGAGATTACAGGTGTGCACCACCAGGCCTGGCTTTTACATGGGTGCTGGGGATCTGAACTCAGGTCCTCATGCTTGCACGGCAGGCCTTTCCTAACTGAACCATCTCCCTGGCCCAAATTAACCATTTTAGAAAGTACAGTTCAGGGACACTTAGAACAACCTGGTTGTATGGTCCCAATACCTTAAAAGTAGGCACCAAGGCTACCAGACAGTCACTTCCCAGTTCCTGTACCCCTATTTCCCACTTCCTGTCTCCATGGCTTCATCTCTTCTGCACATTCTGTGTGCTTGAGGCCACAGGGCACCAGGCCTTTGCTTCTGCTCTTTCACTCAGTGCAAGATCGTCAAGGTTCATCTGTGTTGTAGCCTGCGTTATTGTTTCTTTCCTTTTAATACCTAAATAAGATTCCATCATACAGTTAGACTGTCATCTTTTGTTTGCCACTCCTCACCCGATGGGTACGTGTGTTTCTCTACCTCCTGGGTATTAAGAACACTGCTACTGGGAGCATTCCTGCAGAAGCTGTTTGTTTAAGTCTCTGTTTTCCCTTTTTTTTGGTCTATGTCTAGAAAAAGAACAGCTAAGCAGGTAGTGTATAGCTTGCTGTGTGCATGGGCTTCCACACTGGTCATTGTGGGTCACAGGCCTCCAAATTCTGCTTGTAACTGGACATGTCCTAACTGTCCTGGGTTGCCATGGCAGTGCCATTTGCTTCTGAGAGGAACTGTGTACTTTAAAATATTTTGTTATTTTTATTTTACGTGTGTGTATATTGCCTGCATATATGTAAATGTACCCATGTCGTGCAGTGCCTGTGGAAGTCAGAAAAGGGAGTCGAATCCCCTGGAACTGGAGTTATGGATGGTTGTTAGCCACCATGTGGGTGCTGGGAATTGAACCCAGGTCCTCTGCAAGAGCATCCAGTGCTCTTAATGGCTGAATCATTTTTCCAGCCCCTGGAGCTGTGTTCTTAAAAATGCTACTTCCTCCCACATTTTTGTATGGTATCCCCTGCACCCTAATCCAGGGATGTGTTTCAGGATGTCCTGAGGGTACCACCACAAACCACAGATAGTGCTGAGCCTATACAGACTGCTTTCTTCATACACATGACTGTTAATAAACTACAGCACAGGAAGCAAAACTGAGGCTAAGGGGAGGACCCCGTGTTTACAGTGGTGGCCATGTTTCTGCCAGCTCTGCCATTTGGCTTGGGAAGTCCTTGTACTGAGCTGATTTGGGTATGTCCTGGGTTAGGATGGATTTTGTGTACTCTGTTGGGGTACCTGGTCACTCTATGTTGTTAATACTATGCGTTTCAGATCTGGATGCTGGTCCAGAGGAAGTGGATGTACCTTGAGAGCATCTTCATTGGAGGGGACATCCGCTCACAGCTGCCAGAGGAGGCAAAGAAGTTTGACAATATTGACAGGATCTTTAAACGGGCAAGTGCCTGCCATCCACCTTAGTGTATGAAGGCATTATAGGACTCTAAATTGTTTAGCAACAATTTCTGCTTATTGATTATTTTAACAGTTGACCATCTATCTCCCTAGAATGTTTATCCTACACAAACATATAGTTACAGATAAATACAGGAGCAATCTACAACAATAGGACCATTCTTATAATATAACTGTATCTTTTCATAGCTTTGACATGTGTGTAGCATACACATTCCACAGACAATGTATGGAAGTCAGAGGACTACTTGTAGAAGTTGATTCTCTCCTTCTACCACGTGGGTCCTGGGAACTGAAGTCAGGTCAGCAGGCTTGATGGCATTTTTGCCCTCTAAGCCATCTTGCTGGCCTCTTGGAAATATTTCGATCAATAAGAAGTTATTATGTATGGCAAATTATTTGCCTGTTTCTCTATTGCTGGGCATTCAGACAATTTCCTTCTCTGTTCCCCTCTTCACCTCCTCTACCCCCTTCCCTTTTTCCATGAACAAGCACTCTAGTGAATACCCCATGTGTACAAATTATTCACAACCCAGTTGCTGGTTCCATCCATTCCATAAGCATTGGTTGAGCACCTACTGTGTGCAGCACTGTTGAAGGTGGGTATAGCACACCATGACCAAAACATGCAAACCTCTGTGCAGCTGGCCTCCTAATGGGAAGACAAAAAACAAAACCAGACATGTGTGAATTCTGTGTAGCATGTTAGATGGTGCTGGGAGACACATGTTAAAGCTTGTGGCATCTGCCATGCTGGTCTCCCTGTGGCTATGATGCTAGGTGCTGGTCATTTTGTAAATGTCCCGGCCGGTACCTGCTGGGGACTATAAGGACTGCTTCTGCTGCTTTGGGTGACACCCAGCCATCTCCCTATCTACGTCCAGATCATGGGAGAGACCTTGAAAGACCCAGTCATCAAGCGATGCTGTGAGGCCCAGAACCGCCTCAGCGAACTGCAGGCCATCAGTGAGGGCCTGGAGAAGTGCCAGAAGAGCCTGAATGACTACCTGGACTCTAAGAGGAATGCCTTCCCCAGGTTCTTCTTCATCTCTGATGATGAGCTGCTCAGCATCCTAGGCAACAGTGACCCGCTTTGTGTGCAGGAGCACATGATCAAGGTCAGATCATAGGACCAAGGTCATGTTATGTGATCAAGTGTTTCTGTTTTGCATCTTAAGAGATACACTGTTTTCTTCCCTTCCCTTCCTCCCTCCTTCCTTCCCTTCCTCTTTCTCTCCCTCCCTCCCTCCCTCCCTCCTTCTCTTCCTCCATCCTTACATCCCTTTTTTTCTTTTGAGACAGGGTCTCATAATGTAGCTCAAGCTGCTCTGTCCCTGGTCATCTTTCTGCCTCAGCTTCCCAATTACAGGTCCCACGTTTGGGCCATTCCACTTTCTAACCAAGTGTTTTGCTGCTGTGAGAATGGGCTGCTTGAGTTTCCAAGTTTTCTGTCAGCCTGTCTGTGAGCCTCTCATTTTACTCTTTAAAGCCAGTTGTCCCTGCCCTCCCTTCTGATTTGCAGAATGTCCTTGCTATGCCATAGGACCTAAAGGAATCAGGGTCTGGAATTTTTTTCTGCTTAATCACAGTGACAGTTGTCATAGCCAGTGTTTGTGGCAGTGATGTGTGACTCATGCCATCTTGTGGCATGTATCATACCGATGCCTCCTCCAAGCTGTGAGAGAGGGAACAAGTGGCTTGGAGTTACCTGGTTGGATGTGGGGCTGCTGGGGTTGCATCTCATGTCTCTTAACTCCCAGCCCGGGGTGTTTAATCACCCACTTCAACTCCATGTTCTGGACCTCCTTGTCCCTGTGTTTCCACTAGAATCCCTTCATGCCAGACAGCCTTTCCAGCTGTTTCTTTCTTTTTGAAATCTCCCCTAGGATTACACAATGCCAATAAATAGTGTCTGTCATCCTGTTGAATGAACACACCACTGGGCACATGGAAGTTGGTCTAGGGGGACCCCAAGAGTGCCCTAGCCACTCTGATGGAGGAGGGTGGAGGCCATGGACTGCCCGCAATTCCAGAACTAAATGCCAGCATCCAGGCCTGTGTCTCCTGCTGTCTTGTAGATGTTTGACAACATAGCCATGTTACAATTCCATGATGGAGACAGTGGGGAGAAGCTGGTGTTGGCCATGATCTCCGCAGAGGGAGAGGTCATGAACTTTCGCAAGATCGTCCGGGCTGAGGGCCGCGTGGAAGACTGGATGACAGCTGTGCTGAATGAAATGAGAAGGACCAACAGACTAATCACCAAAGAGGCGATCTTTAGATACTGCGAAGACAGAAGCAGGTGAAGTCAGGTTTGAGAGCGTGTGAGCATGTGCTGCTCTGTCCTGCCAGTCCACACTGGGCTTGATCTGAGGGTATGGAGCAGATGGGCTGACATGGTAATGGAGACTTTCCTTGCTATGTCGAACCAACTGATGAAAGCTGTCTTAAATGATGGCTCCATGCAGTCGTTTGTGGGTGGACAGGGCACTGGGCTGGGAGCGTGTTAGAAATGTAACTTGGGCTGGGAGCAAAACGCAGAGGTAGAATATCTGCCAGACTCCACCAGTGAGAAAATGGGTGTGTATCTCAGGGGTAGAACACCTGCCTGCAAGTTGTCAGTTGTAGAATGCTTGCCTACCATAGAAGAGGCTCTGGGTTCTGTTTCTAGTACTACAAAGATGAATGAATGAGTGAATGAATGAATGAATGAATACAAATTTTCAGTCCCCACTTCACACCGGGGCATCAGAAACTCTGGCTGTGGCAGGGTCTGTGTTACTCCAGCCCCCTGGGATTCCTGGGCAGGCTTCTCTGTGAGAACTGTGATCAGCAGACCTCAGGACTGACTGTATGCAGTTGTCTGGAGCAGCATTGCTAAGAAGCTTTGTGGGTGGCCAGAAGAGAAGCTTCTGGGCATTCCATTGTGCTATATCTGCCCCCAGTGGCTTTTGTGGTGGGTGATTCAAAATACTTATTCCATGAGACAGGCAGGAATTTCAGTATGGTTATGGTATGGCTGGTGGGGTTATCACAGACATAAAACCACTGCTTTTATCAGGAGAGCAGCACTCTGTTGGTTTTGCCAAATGGAAATATCTATTTAAAAATGAATTATTGTGGAAGAGGATGGTTAGAGAGATGGCTCAACAGTTACAAGCACTTGCTGCTCTTGAAGAGGACCTGAGTTCAGTTCCCAGCGCCCATATCAGGCAGCTCACAACCACGTGTAACTCAAGCTCCAGGAGATCCAGTTCTTCTGGGCTCTGTGGGCACTGCACACACACACACACACACACACACACACACACACACACACACACAAAATAGTGCTTTAAAAGAGAATCATTAAGGGCTGGCAAGATGGCTCAGTTGGTAAAGTGTTTGCCACACAAGCATAAGGACCTGGCATAGGCCCCCCAGCACCCTCATAAAAAGGCAAGTATGGAGGCAGCAGCACTGAGGAGGCTGGAGGACAGCTGGAACTCACTGACCAAATAGTCTAACAGAATCAATGAGCTCCAGGTTCAATGAGAGATCTGCTTCAGAAAATAAGGTGGGGAGCGACCAAGGAAGACACCTGCCATCAACCTCAGGCCTCCTCACACATGTGTGCACTCACACAAAATAAATGAATCCTTAGAAAATTGCATGTTTACATGATTTCATCCTGCTACTTATGAAATGCTGTGAAGGGCAGAATTTTGCTTACTTCATCATAAATCAGGCATGTGTATGTCTCCTCAGCCATGTGCTGTCCACTGGCTATGGAAGAAGAGTGAATGGAGCATTGGTTGAGAGCCCGTGCCAGTTTCCATGGGTAATCACTGCACTGGAGCTCATCCTAACACCAGATGGAATCATGGGAAGAGGTCTAGCAATGAGCCTGTCAACTCCTTGGATGATCCATCATGAGCTCTCATGAGCCAGTGGCGGACACCTCTCTGTCTGTCCATCTACCAGGTGGTAGGGACGAAGGAATGACAAATGAGAAAAGCAAGATTCAGAATAACTTGGTGTGCCTGTCTGGTGTGGGGGAAACAACAGCCACCATCTCTTCCCTGACAGCCATGTCCACTGGTGTGTTTCTCCTCAGCTCTAGTTCATTTTCCTGAGATGGAAAAGGGGCAGGGTAATCACAGGCTTCAGAAAGACTTGGGCACAGATTATTTCATTCCTCATGTGTTTTTTTTCCTCGACTTAAAATAAACCCATATAATACTAAGTGATTTTGAAAATCTATAAAGAAATTTTTAAAGATTTTATCTTTATTTTATGTGTATGAGTGTTTTGCCTGCATGCACATAAGTGTACCACATGCATGCAGTGCCCATGGAGGCCAGAAGAGGGCACTGGATCCCCTGGAATTGGCGTTATGAACAGTTGTTAGCTACCATGTGAGTGTTGGGTCCCCTGCAAGAGCAGCCAGTGCTCTTAACCATTGGGCCATCTCTCCAGCCCCTAAATATTTTTTTTAATGATTAGTATTTCTCTTCCTTAGTGGTACTTGAGATTGAACCCAAGGCATCTCACAGTCTAGATGAGTATTCTGTGGTTGTGCTCCACCCCCAGCTCCTCATTGGCAGATTCTAGGCCTGGACTTTACCACTGAGCCAACTATCAAATTCTAGGCAGACTCTCTGCCACTGAGCTGCATCTCTGGCCCCTCAGTGGTGGATTCTACATCAGAGCTCCACTCCTGACCCATGCCCCTGTCCTACTTACTTTCTATTGCTGTGATAAAAACTGACCAAAACTAACTTGGGAAAGAAAGGGTTTATTTCACCTTAAGGTTACAGTTCATCATGGAGGGAAACCAAGCTCAGGGAAGGAACTGAAGTATAGACCACAGAGGAGCTCTGCTTACTGGTTTGCTCCTATGGCCTGTGCCCAGCCTTTCTTGTACAACCCAGGACCACCTGCCCACGGGTGGCACCACACATAGTGGGCTGAATCTTCCCACATAACTCAACAATCAAGAAAATGCCTCACAGATATGGCCATAGGCCAATCCAGTGGGGGAAAATTCCTCAGTTGAGGCTCCTTCTACCTAGGTGTGCTAAGTTGAAAACTGAAACTATTTAGTACATCCCCATACCCTTAAGGCATATTCTAGGCCAGAGCTCTACTGCTGAGCCATGTCCCCAGCCCCTCATGGTGGATTCTAGGACAGTACTCTATTCCTGAGTCATACCTCCAGGCTCTCAATGGTGGATTCTAGGTGAGTGTTCTATTTCTGAGCCATGCCCCTGGCTCTATGGTGGACATGTTTCTGTACAGTGAGGATCCCTCAAATTAAGTGGCCGTATATCATTGTCCTAGTATTTCACTGTCTAACCAAAGAGCCTTCCTGGCATTAGTGTCTCCTGTTCCAGGTCGGTCATATAAGCTCTGAGTGTGGCTGACTTCCCATTCAGCCCTACTGGACTAGGCCTCTGCCGAGCCTCAGACAGTTATGCTTCTTCCACAGGGTGGACTGGATGCTGCTGTATCAAGGCATGGTGGTGCTGGCCTCCAGTCAGGTGTGGTGGACCTGGGAGGTCGAGGATGTCTTCCACAAGATCAAGGGAGGGGACAAGCAAGCCATGAAGAACTACGGCAGGAAGATGCACCGGCAAATTGATGAGCTGGTTACAAGGATTACCATGCCCCTGAGCAAAAATGACAGGAAGAAATACAACACAGTCCTCATCATTGATGTGCACGCCCGGGACATTGTAGATTCCTTCATCCGGGGCAGGTGGGTCCCTTTGGAGGTCTCTGGGGTGCTTTGTTGGGCTGCTAGTTTGTAGTCTGCTCAGCCATTGCCCCTTTGTCCTTTGCCTCTTCTTGCCTAGCATCCTTGAGGCCCGGGAGTTTGAGTGGGAAAGCCAGCTTCGATTTTACTGGGACCGTGAGCCAGATGAGCTCAACATCCGCCAGTGCACAGGGACCTTCAGCTATGGCTATGAGTACATGGGTCTAAATGGGAGGCTGGTCATCACGCCCCTCACGGACCGCATCTACCTGACGCTCACGCAGGTGACATGTTCTCTCCTGACAATAACTTGATGATTGACCTACATGGGCAGGGGTCCTAGCTTTGAGCTCTTAGAAGCTTCTTCCACTTGTAGTCTGATTCTTGTCATCACTGGGGATTGAGATGCCTGTGAGCTTCTCCTCTAGGATGCTCCACATAGTCTCAGACACTGGCTTCCATCCTGTGGCTCAGACCCTGGCATAGTGGTCCCTATACAGTGGGGGTCGAGGGGACATCAGTAGAAACCAATGGAAGGATGCAGAAATGTCAAAGATTGTGACTGTCAGAAGGCAAGTGTGCCCTGACCTGTGGAAGAGAAGATGGTGTTTCCCCCAGGACAAGAGCCAGCATGTTAGCTATCCAGTGTAAGGAAGATGGATGATTCTTTTTGTTGTGTCATTGAAGGTGGAAGTCAGTGCTTTGGGCACATTAAACAAGTGCTCTACTGAGCTGCACCAGAGTCTGGGCAGGCCTACATGTAACACCCTCAGTTCGAGGTCTGAGACTCAAACTTACAGTGTGTAGCGCCCCACCAGTCTCTACATCACCTTGTGGTACCTGGGGTATACAAGTGAATGTGTGGAAGCATGAAGCCCAGTGGGCTGTGAGCAGAGACACCTTTTGTTTTTCTAAAAAAATAAAGTATGAACTTAAGCAGGGCTTGATGGCACACACTTAAGATCCCAGCACTTGGGAGGTGGAGGTAGGAGAATCAGGAGTTCAAGGCTCAGTCTCAGCTACATATTGAGTTTGAGGCCAGCCTGGTATATATGAAATTCTGTGGGGAAAAAAAAGAATGTATGAGCTTACCTGTGTTATCTGTTGGTTAGGGGTATACAGAGTCAGATCAGTGGGAGACCACTGAGTCAGGGATCTATAGAAAGACAGGGTCAAACTCAAGTGTTCTATGACAGTGGGTGATTACAGATTCTAGTCCGTGTCTCAGCCTGGTGTTGGCCAGATGGACAAACAGAACAGCCAGGGCTGTGGGTCTGAGGCTCAGAGCTGGCTGCTGTCTTTGAGTCTGAGGATGAGACTATCTCAGCTCTAGTGGAACCAGGTGCCCCTTACCTTTGGTTCCATCCAGTTCTCAGGGGCTAAATACTGCTACCTGTGCTCTGAGGACCATCATCTGCCTAACTCTGCTTTCCACCAAACACTAGGCTCTGAGAGACAGACCCTCACAGATATGCCTAGAAATAACATCCAGCCGGTGATCAGGACCGTTCTCCACAGTCAGGTTGACACTTGTTTGCATCAGTGTCCCTGCATGTTCTGCCTCTGCTATCCCAGAGATGATCCTGGGAGTGGCATCCATTTCCCCCCATGAATCAGAACATGTGCGCTTTGAATTTGACTGGTTACAGGCCCTGTCCATGTATCTGGGAGGTGCCCCTGCTGGCCCAGCGGGAACCGGCAAAACTGAGACTACCAAGGACCTTGCCAAAGCCCTGGGCCTGCTGTGTGTCGTCACCAACTGCGGCGAAGGCATGGACTACAAAGTAAGGCCTTGCCTTCACTTCCAGTGCTCTCTTCTCTGCAAGGAACTCCAAGTGGGGGAAGGGCTGGGAAGTGTGTCACCTGTCTTCTGAAATGACAAGGGACCACTGGAAGGGTGTTAGAGTGAACCTTGTACCATCTGTAGGGCAAGAGTCCCAAACTCTTCCTGCCAGGGCTAGAGAGAGAGCATAGACGAATAAGGAGCAACACAGAGGGGTGGGGACAGTGGCCAAATGGAGTATTGACCTCTAAGGCCTACGGCACCACTGCTCAGCTTTGCATCAATAAGGGCATTTGGGACCCCAGACCCACTTTCCCTCGATGTTCCTTCCTTTCAGTAGCTGTCAATCTGGAATTTTATACAAATACACAGTCTTGATTGGAAAGGCCCAAGGGAGAGCTGTCCCACTGAAGGCCTTGAAAATCTTGTCAGAAAGCTCCATGGGTGCAGTGACCATCTGCCACTCTGCCCAGCTGCCCACTATACTGTTGGATATAGAAAGTGTTAAGTCTTCTATCTCTGGGAGGAATGGGTCCTAATGATGCTGACCGAATCCCCAGGCCATAGGGAAGATCTTCTCTGGCCTCGCCCAGTGTGGCGCTTGGGGTTGCTTTGATGAGTTCAACCGGATCGATGCCTCGGTGCTGTCTGTCATCTCGTCTCAGATTCAGACCATTCGGAATGCGCTGATTCACCAGCTGACCACATTCCAGGTGAGGAGGGGCAACTACTGGCATAGTTTCCCCGGATGGATGCCTGCTACAGAACTTGTGGCACCTGGGTTGGGGGGAGCTTTCAGACCTGCAGTGTTAGCTGCTTTCTGTCACTGTGATCACAATACTCACCATAACAATGTAAGAGGAGGAATTGGTTACTTTGGTTCACAGATTCAGAGGGCTCCCATCATGGTGAGGAAGGTGGGGTAGCTCAGAGCAGCTCCCATCATGGTGGCTGGGCAGCAGACAGACATGCTGGTGTTTCCTGACTTTCTCCTTTTTCCTTCTTTTAATTTTATTTGAACACCCCTACCCATTGGGTGGTGCCACCCACCCTCAGTTAATCCTCACAGATGCACCCAGAGACGCACATCAGTTTCCTAGCTAATTCTAAAGCCATTGAAATTAACCATGAAGATTACCTACCATACCTGGCTAGACACCACACTTGGCCAGATACCACACCTGACCACACATAGCTTCCTGAATATGTCTGGGATTGTATGCCAATCCAGAAAACCCAGCCTCCTTACTTCACCATCTTCCTTGGTGATGGTCCCAGCTGTGTAAACTTTCCTTCTCTCCCATCATCCAGTTTGAAGGGCAGGAGATCTCTCTGGATTCACGGATGGGCATCTTCATCACCATGAACCCTGGCTATGCAGGCCGCACTGAGCTGCCTGAGTCTGTGAAGGCCCTGTTCAGGCCTGTGGTCGTCATTGTGCCTGACCTGCAGCAGATCTGTGAGATCATGCTCTTCTCTGAGGGCTTCCTGGGAGCCAAGGTGAGCCATACCAGGTCGCTGGCCAAGGGGTGGTGTTGTGGGATATGACTTCAGGATATAGAAGGTGTGTGGTGCTGGGAATCACTCAGCCTTGTCCCTCCTCTCTTCCCTCTCTCTAAACCTGTAACTTAATTTGGGAATGCTTTCAGATGCCTGAGAGGTTGAGAAGCAGTGACTAGTTCCTGTGTGTCCTCCCCGAGATGTAGCATCTGGTATATCAGCACTCAGCCCATTGTGTAGCCTGTGAACTGCCCAAGTACATGCTGTGTTCCGTCTTCACTAGGTTCAGGTTCTCTCTCTTGTTACATGTGTAGATGGAGTGCCTGTCACCATAGTCAACAGAGTGGTCCCTTCACCACTGAGACACTCCTTCATGTCACCTTTAAAAGTCACACCATGGGTCTAGGGAGATGGCTCAGTCAGTAAAGTGCCTGCCTCTCAAGCATGAGGACCTGAGTTTGAATCTCAGCACCCACATAAAAAGCTGGCTTGCTGGTATTCACCTGCAGTTCCAGCACTGGGGAGGTGGAGACAGGAAGATCCTTGGATCTTATCACTCAGCCAGCCTAGACAGTCAGTGAGCTCCAGGTTCAGTGTCCCAAAAAACAAGATGGGAACTGGGGAGATAGCTCAGTGGGTAAGAGCACTTGCTCTGCAATCACAAGCACCGGAGTTTGACTCCCTAGCACTCAGAAAAATCTGAGCATGGCTGTGCATGCCTGTAACTCTAGCATTGGAGGGCAGAGACATGCGATTAAATCCAAAGAGCTGGCAAGTCAGCCTGTCTAGTCAAAATAGTGAGCTTCTAGCCCAGCGTGGTGGTACACACCTTTAATCCCAGCACTTGAGGCAGAAGCAGGCAGAGTTCTGTGAGATCGAGCAAGGCCTGTCTAGTCTGGTTGAGAGAGGCTAGCTAGCCACAGGCCAGATGTGGCTACAGGAAGACCCTGTCTCAAAAAAGACCAAAACAAACAAACAAAATAGTAAGTTTCCAGTCTGGTGAGACCTGTCTAAAGGCAATAGGGCAGAGAGTGGCAGGGGAAGATGCCCTAGATCTTCCTCTGGCCTCTGCACCTTCTCATGTTGCATTCCTATAATCTATGTACATTTATCTTTTCTGTGATGCTGAAGATAGAACCCAGGGCCTAGCCCTCTTAACACTGAGGCATCTCTCCAGCTTCACGATGAATGTTTTTAAAAGGTTCTTGTTGCCCATCAGGCTGCTAGGACTCTGGGTTTGTAGGATGCAATCTCTCATTAGTTTTTATCAGCCAAATTCCCATGCCAACCTCTGGGACCAGTGGGCTTAACTGACATGGATGATGTGCCTGAGCTGTCCTCAGAAAGGAGAGTCCCTGGGTATGTGGCTCAAAGCAACATCCTATCCAAATGCTGAGGAGATTGAGGCAGAAATATTAGAAGTTCAAGGCCAGACCCTTCTCAGAATTAATGAGGTAAAGGGCTAGGGATGTAGCTCAGCAGTTCTGTGTTCATTCCCCAGTACTGAACAAACCAAGCCCAAAGCAAAACCACAGCATACAGGTGCAGGGGTGCCTGAATGATAGGTGTATGTCTCAGTGAACAAGAAGCATCAGGCTCAGTGGACTGCTGCCGGGATCTGCCCTCAATGAAGTCGGGGAAGATCTGTCTCTGACTTTGTGCAAGAGTGGTTGCATTTGGCAAGTGTGTGTGTATGTGTGCATGTGTGTGTGTAACAAGCTCTCATGTGGCCCAGGCTGGCCTCAAATTCACTATGTATTGGAGGATGACCTTTAATTCCTGATTTTCCTGCTTTCACTTCCTGAGTACTGGGATTATAGGCATGTGTCACCCCTCCTGGATAGCATGTGCTCTTTTTAAAAAAAATTTTGTTTATTATTTTTATTTTATGTGTATGCGTGTATTGCCTGCATGTAGGTAAGTGCACCCATGTCATGCAATACCCGTGGAGGTCAGAAGAGGCTGTCGGATGCCCTGGGACTGGAGTCACAGACAGTTGTTAGCTGCCATGTGGGTGCTGGGATTTGAACCCAGGTCTTCTGCAAGAACAACCAGTGTTCTTAACTGCTGAGCCATCTCTCCAGCCCCAGCATGTGTTCTTTAAAAATGAGTCCCCAAGCTGCTGTAGAGAAGTGAATTTGCACCTTGTGTGTTTGAATGATGGAGACCAGCCCTGTGTATCTGTAGCACTGTCCCTGGGACTCCTGTGTCCCTTTCTTGTATTGACAACCACTCTGCTGCTTTCTTCATTTTATTTGCTTGTATTTTGATTTCTTATTGTCTTCTGTCAAAAAGACGCTGGCCAAGAAGATGACAGTTCTGTATAAGCTGGCCCGGGAGCAGCTGTCCAAGCAGCACCATTATGACTTTGGGCTCCGGGCCCTGAAGTCAGTGCTGGTCATGGCCGGTGAGCTGAAGAGAGGTTCTGCTGACCTGCAAGAGGTAGGGCCCCCGCCATGTCTGAGGTTCCATGTGGTTCTGTGTGGTTCCCTGTTCTCAGCATGTTCAGAAGGCAGGGAGGAGGGTATGGACAGAGTGGGCCAGCTAGAAGTTTGAAGTCTTGGCTGGTGCATCCTTGAGTAGTCTAGCCTTGCTTTAGTCTCCCTGTGATATGGTCTTTAAGTAGACTTCCTGCTTTAAGGTCAAGGACCTAGATGTGACTGTCAATCTGTCGTCTCAAGGTGGCGGGCGGCAGGAGGGAGCAAGGAGCCTTCTGTTGACGAGGGGATGTGGTTCTTAAATTAACTGCTGCTTGTGTGTCCTAACTGGGTCCAGTGAATACATGCAGGCTCTAGTAAGAGCCACCCCACCCTGCACCCAATTTCTCCTTGCAGCAAAAGTGAGGGCGAAGTTGTGTTTCTTTGGCCTGATACTTTGTAGTTGACTTTGTCAGTGACATTCTGGGGCGACAGACTCCCACAGTTTTCCACCAATGATGATATGCATGTTGGATATTTAGTTTAATCTTTATTTTTATATAAAATTTGACATCCTACAATCCCCCCCCTTTTTTTTGTCTTTTTGAGACAGGGTCTCCCTGTAGCCCCAGCTGGTCTCAAACTCACTACGTAGACCAGGCTGGCCTCGAACTCACAGAGATCTGCCTGCCTCTACCTGCACTGGGATTAAAGGCATGCACCACCATGTCTGACTTCATACATCCCATTTTTATAAATTCCCTTTTGGATTTTTATTTTCTACAAAACTTTGAAAAAGATATGCAAATTCTAAAACTTTGATATTTTATAGTTCATTTTCATAAAAGTGTTATATAAAAGTGAATTGTACCTTATAAAATTTTGTTTTATATTAAATCATAT